ACAAACCACGAACTTCGCAATCCCAGCGCTCAACAGAACAGCGACTTGAAACAGTGATAACTACACATATAAAAGAAGCACTCCAAAGGTATATATGAAATTAGGCAAATAATCAACTCTAGATTAATGCTAGTTTGGGGGAGGAGCTTTTTGATTTCGAGAAAAAGAAGCGTGGGATGTTCAAAAAGCAAAAATATTTTGGAAATTTATAATTCTGCGTTACTTCTACGTATAAGTTTTCTACTATTATTTTAAATGCGTTCTTATCAGTGAGAGTTGCAGAGACATTAAGTTATTTCGAACCAAGCGAAATGGAAAAAGAACAATGCCCTCCCCAGGACTCGAACCTCTCGAATACGCGCCGAGTGTACTGGCCATTACACTACGAAGGTATGCTAAGAAGGCGGGAGAAATACCATATACTCCTCTTCTTAAAGGGCGACTGGTGATTGGGTGCAATCACCAAATCCTGGTGGTGGAGAATCAACATACACTACCTATTTTTTTTAGTTCGGGCACCACTATAGAGACATTAGGAATTTTTGGAAGCAGGAGATGTGAAAACTGAGCAGCACCCTCGTCGGGACTCGAACCATGGACCTCTCGAATACGCTTCGAGTGTGCCCACCATTATACCATGAAGACATGCTAAGAAGGCGGAAAAAAATACCTTATAGAGTGAATCCTGATTACTGCCTTTTTCAATTTCTCAGAAAGAATTTAAGAGAAGAGAAATGAAAGATGCCTGGAAGTATACAAAGAAAAGATCAGATATTTATAAGGCACTAGGAATACTTAAAAAAAAATTTTAAAAAAAGAATGAAAGAATGAATGAATGAGAATAAGTAGCTGTTTAATGTTCTAAAGACACTTTTATTTCAGAAAGACAAGTGTTCTTCTGAAATAAAAGTGTCTCGCGCACAATAAATAAAAGTGTCTCGCAATTCAAGTCGTTCATGGACCACAGTCACTCCAGATGACCGTTTCATGTTGTTAACAATGAAGAGAAACAGGCGAGTATTCATGAGTTTTTTGTACCTACTGGGAATAAGACATATAGTTCTTTATCCTAAAACTGCATGAATGAAGTCTAAGTTCGAAAATGTCGATGGTTTGAATTCTTCCTATTTCAACCGCAAAGAATGGACGTTTCGGAAAATATTAGCAATGGAATGGAATGGACTAGAGTCAAGTTTCCGTCATAGATGATTTTAGCTGTGCAATTTAAATGGGCAATGTCAAAAGCAAGCCACATTTCCCACAATAGTCTAGAAACAAGGACATCCGAAAGAGGAGGAACGGCATTTTAAGGTAGAAAAACCTCAACTGGCTACACAGTTTCTCATGGCTTCCATGATAGTTTCTTAAATACTCAGAAACCTTGAGGCCTATACGTGAAGCATATTAGAGAAAATATCGCTGATTAATTCTTCATAATAAACACTAATGCATAAACTTATCGAGCGATGCTACATTCAGAACACCTGGAAAAGTAACAATATGCCAAAATAGCGTAATTTCCCTTTCTCCGGAATCCAAATGAACACACTTGCGATATTTTAGGTCGCAAGATTTCAGGATTTCAACTGAAATATAAAAACAGGCAGTAAACCTGTTTTTATACATATATATTTATCTATAAACTCCAGGCGCTAAAAGGTGGCTATAAGAGCAGTGGAACATTGTTCTATAAAACCCTTACAAACAGTAAAATTAATCTTTGCCAGATATATGCTTCTGTTTGGAAAAATCATATACTACGTTAATTACATGGAGATCGTGCGTTTTTTACGTTATAATAATTTAACCTTCTTCCTACAAGTTCTTGCTTTCAAAAGCTAATAATAAAACTATATTACCCTAATGTTTTTGAAAACTGCAGCACCATGAAGGAATTATGCCAATTGAACCAAACTTACAGGAAATGTAAAGTGAGGTAAGACATGCAAATGATTAGAATTACAAAGTGATTGCGCATGCGTGGAATGAGAACCGGCCGCTTGTGCCATGTACATAAAGGACTGTAAAGTTGCGATCAAACCTGTATATCGTCCTCCGTCTGCTGTTTAGTGGTCAATATGCCTCGTCAACAACGGATGGTGCCATATCAACAACTAACGGAGTTTGAACGAGGCAGTATCGTTGATATGTGAGAGGGTGGACTTTCGTATCGAGCAATCGCATCCCGCACGCAACATAATACCACAAGAGTTATGCGTGTTTGGAAGAAATTGACAGAGGAGAACCAAAAAAAGTCGAAATCCTGGCAGTGCGGCAAGCAATAGCACAACGGCACGGGACGACAGATACCTCATCCGCATGGCTGTGACGGATGGTAGAGTGTCCTTTCGTGTGTTAGCGCAACGTTGGATCACGACTACAGGTGTTGTGTTGTCTAGCTTCACGGTTCGTTACGTCTGCTGCAGCATAAACTGAGTGCAAGGGTTCCTCTACGCAGGAATCCCCTATCGCAGAATCACAGATCTCCTCCGACTTCGGTGGGTACGGCAACACAGTGCGTGGCTTGCCCTGTGGCAACAAGTTCTTTTCTGTGATGAATCTTGGCATAGTCTGGAGTACAATGATGGAAGAGTACGCGTCAGACGTTACAGAAGGGAACGTCTGCTCCTACAGTGTGTTGTCCAGCGTCATACCGCACAAAAGTCTGGCATCATGCTGTGCGGAGCTATTGGGTATAATTATCGATCCCATGTAGTGAAGATTTCGGGCAGCCTTGAGTGATTGCCAGAGGTCCTCTCCATTCTTCGACGCATTCCGGGCGCTGCATTTCAGCAGGATAATGCCAGTGCACGTTTCTCAGACTGCACAAGCCTTCTTTAGGGCATAACAGGTTTCGCTTCTTCCATGACCTGCTTATTCCCCGGCTATGTCGGCCATAGAGCGAAAGTAATGTGATGTTTGGGATTTCATCGGTCGGCAAGTCGCTCGTACAGCTGATGTGGCAACTGAACTCTGGCATCAAGTCAAAGCCACATGGAATGCCATTCATGTGGAATGTTGTATTTTTCACGAATATTAGTGTGTATTTTCAATTTTCTATACTTTAAAAGTTATGGAAATATAAAAATTTTGTGCACTTAAAAAGGGGGAGTTTCATTTTGTACTTCACCTCATATCTGACAACATACAATATTATTTCTCAGTTACGTAATAATTCTGTTGCAAAATACTTTTTAACAAGCAAAACACTTAAAATTATTATTTAAATTAATTAATAAAAGTAATGTGATTCTGGCAGCATCTTTCAATACCCTACAGATTTGATTCTCAAAATTCATTTAGGGAGCAAATCCACAATGTAACGAAATCTTGCTTTTTGCTTCTAAGAATAAGAGAGGTTTGTGCCTGAGGATCAAGGTATCTTTTATTCGCTGTAATCTAAATGATCGTGCTACTTCTCATATTATATTCTCATATTATTTCCAATACAGCTATCAGGGTCAATGTTCCTTCTTACCTTCTTCGGGAACACAAGGACCTGACTCGGAACAGAGAGCTTACTAAAGCTATGTTCACTAATTGTGGTAAGTAGACAGGATACAGACGAAGGGTATACAAAACCCTTTATTTTTCTCTATATACAATAACTTCCGTACTTCGGAATACACTGACCCGCTACTTGGGGTCTAACGTAAAAGTATAAAAATAAAACTAAACTCTAATTTAACTTTAGAATAATAAACGTGGAAGATTGGCCTTATAATAACAGGAAGCGTATGTAGTACAGAGACTGTGAACACTACAATACGTTTAAATTTATCAAGAGGATTAAAACCTCTGGCCTGGAAGGCAAACAGCAACTGCGTAACTTCTAAGGTAAGCGGCCTGCTTTGACTCACTGCTTCTTCTCCGCTTGGCAAAAAGCCACAACTTAAATACTTGGCGTTCGCCAGACAAACTTTGCATAAATTACCTTCACGCTTATAATTCTGGCCGGAAGTAGAAAATAAGAAGTGATAGTAAAGATTTAAAATAAAATAAACGTTAGTAAAACTTAAGATCCTTACACAGCAATCAAAACTGAACTCATAAAATGAAGTATCTGGATGTCTGATATACTACTGAATATACAACGCAGATAAATTAAAAACTATCCTTGAATCACAAAGAGAACCACTTGCTTGATTTGACTACAAAAGTGACTAAATTTTGTAATAATCTGCAAAAACTGTAAATAATACAAGATAAAGTTTCGTGAGTTGTTCTTTAGCCAGTATAAACATAATTCTCCTGCAACGATATCTGTAAAAGCGAATAAACCATGTTCCAGAAGAACAACTACATTTTTCAAAATGATCACAACCCATATTCACAAGGATTATTCAATTAACAGCCTCTTAAGTGCGACAGAATGGCATCTGTCAACTTGAGCGGAAATTTACGATACATGGTATACGTCAGCTGGGATAACAAATTATAAAAACATGTTAAGAATTCCATACTCATAATTTCGGAAGTGAAGCATGAAGGATACATATTCAATGTACATGTATATTCCTATTACTAACCCGTAAGTCCTAGTTGTTCCTTTCATAACCATCAGCCAAGCAATGAAACCTGATATCTGTCAACTTATTACAATACATTACAAAATATTTTGAATAGCTTTTCGGAAGGTCGGTTGTATGCGCCACTTATCGCTGATTTTCACTCGTAATGGACGGCGCAGGCCTTACCAACAGTCAAGTTATAAAAACTACTGAATAGCGGTACTTCAAACAGAGGCAAATAAGCTGATAGCATGGGTGATTTTTGCGGTTTTCCACGTACGTAACTTGAATATGAGCCAGTTTCCTTTAGAAAATTCTCCGTGAAAGCATCCATCTGTTTAGAATGTTTCATAATTTAATAGTCGAAGGAACTGATCCTTAAAATTATACAATTTTTCACTACTTTTATTGAAAGTAAATAGCAAATGTAGAGAAATATCCATTGAATACTGCAGATATTTATCGATATTTTTTCTCCCTTTTTCTTAGTGGTCATTTAGACTGCATTCAAACTTTACTGCAATGGGGATCCAGTCTAGACAAGCGGGACGCTCTGGGAAGAGGAGTCCACGATATGGTTGAAGAGTACAATTTAGAAGAGGTGGCGGCTTTGCTACGGCGATTTCACAAGCAGCTGCATAACTTCAAACACATGCTCGACATGATGCACAGGTACGCACTCGATAACTCAGATTAAAGGTCAACTTCTCAAACGACACTTACAATCAAAAAACTGTATCTTGTACAGGAATGAGGAAAGGAGCACCTCGGAGATTCCAAGAGAGTTTATGGACATTTTGGCCTCAATAGCTGAAGAAAGTGGACCGGAGTGACGACTCAAGAGATTTTACACCTTCAGATCAGTAAAGCATAAATGAAATATACAGTGTTTTCAGGTGATAATGGCTTTGCATATATTTTTTTTTAATGGGCGAAATATCAGGCACGAGAAGACGTTAACACAGTTTTCGTTGATTAACTTAAAACGTGAATTTTAATTTATTACTATTTGTTTTACTAATATTTTGCGAGTTTTTAATCTGACTGAACTGCTAGCAACCAAAGATATATAATTACTGGAAAACAACTCAAATGAGAGCAACAAGCTCTAGAACAGCTTACTATTCTGTTCTTTTTTAACAAAACGGCAATATTTAGCATGCAACCAATCTGATAAAATACAAGATGTTCCATTTGAGTAAAATACCTAGCGCTATCGCGTGCTGCTGACACAATACAGAACACACATAAATTTAACTGTAACAATACCTGTTTTGAGCGATGTCAATTTTATCGCGTCGAAACAAACGTTAGATATGGCCCTTGGTAGTAACTAATGTCCCGAACTGCTCACTAATCAGCAGAATTTGGTTAACATCGTCAACTGCAGCGGTGACTTCTTTCAGTTACTAGACAGCCTATCTTTTTCCTCAGTATTAACCATAAGACTTGATACTATGACTGGAAAACCTCGGAGATATTCAACAAAAGTCGTTACGTCTACTACTGACTTTCTGGAAGTGACACAAGGCCTAACTTTTTTTCAAAAAACCATGAATGTAAATGTACATTGCATAATTATCGATACATTTTTCAATCAAATATAGAATTGGAATTAAACTATTTCAGCATGAAAAGACGACCATCACACTTTTGAAAGGCATATAGAAGTTGCAAACCGCTTTGTCATAAATTAAACCGCTTGAAAGGATCCACCATGATCCAGTAACAGAAAAATAACCTCATTGTTGCGACTAATAATATTAATCATAATCAACTCAGTGCAATATTCGCGAACAAGTATAAGATTGCAAGATGATTGTAATCAACTGTTATTGATAATATGCTAGGCAGCTGTCCCAGATGTACCCATATTACATTCGGCCCAAATTAAATTCCAATATTATACAATTATTTTCTATAGCAAATATTAACTTAGGGCCTTCTGTAACACCTAATTCAATCTCCTGTACTATTTACACTAGTACTAGTGGATAAAGTTCTGAGCGAAACCAACAATTATCGCCATATTCTGAATTATTTTATGTACTGTAATAGTAACATTGATGATTGGAGGGGAATTCCTTTAATATTATAATAATCTTACTTTTTTTGTAATTTGCAAGTTAAGAAAATATTTGCAAAAATAATAATAGAAAAAAAGCAACATTATTATTAAAAAAAAAAGATATGCAAAGCCAGAGTGATCATGAAATGTGTGTGTTCATTTACTTCTATTGTTAAAGAAATCAGGGACCAATATCAAGAAATTTGAGCCACAGAAGCCAACGTTCCTTCCATACGAAGTTGGAACAAATGCTCCAGATATTAAAAATCGTTATAGCTTACAAATATTTATAATTCTTAAAATATTTTTCTATAATTCAGATTTACAAATTTTGATACCCTAGTAACAAATAATATCAATTGCATACCAAATTTTTTGCCTCTTTTTAGATTTTAATATCTTAACTGAAGAGTAACTTCTTGTACTACTAATATCTCACACAAATTACAGGGCATTAAATATAGTACGCAGAAAAGTAATTACATATGTTATTTAGCAAGTTAGAACTGTAGTTAAATAATTTATTTTTTTTTTGACATTTGCTTAATAAATACTCCTATTATTTTGCTCATAAAACTAACACAACTGAAAATTTAAATCTTTTAACTTAGCAAAATAGAAAATTTATAAAATAAAAAATATTTAGCAATATATATATATATATATATATATAAATTAATACAACTTCATTAATAATCGACCTACTTCAAAGACTTCTAACGTTAATTTTATATCTGCGATTAATAAAAGTCTATGCTAATTCTGCAGAGCAGAAATAAAACAAAATATTCTGAAGATCATCTTAGCTATATATCTTGATTTAAACCTATATTGAAAAAATATGAGATCTGCGATTATGTTCGGCAAAATATAGAAAAGTGATATTTGCAGATTGAAAATAAAATTACGTAATGAGATTAATAACAAAAGAAGTTAATGAAAAGCGCAATATTGAAATCAAAAGTTTATGCACAATTATTTAACTTGATTCAAAATATTAAAAGTTGTTTCTCCTCTTTAAAATAATATTGGCATCATATAATATCATAATTTTTATATAAAATACATTATATAAAAAATTAAAACATATCTGTTAATATCAATATTTCTTAACTTTTAACAATCTCAAAAAATTATTTAGCTTATTCTTCAAAGTCATATCTTCCAAGAAAAATAACAATTTCAATTAAGAGTGAGATATCAGTAGTGTTTTGAAACTCCCTTTTAAACAGTGTATTATTTTACTTTTCTCTCTAATATACAATTTTCTAAAGTTGGGGGAGGCATTTGATGCACACCATTTCTTTAGAGTGGTAGAGTTCAAATTAGAAATAAATGCAGATTTTTTTTTTATCTCTGCATAAGATCAGGTGCTAACAGAATATGCAGTGCCTTCAATAAGCTGCTGTATTCTAAACTGTATTAATCACGTTTCAAAATTCAGTTCAATCAATTAACAAAAGTAAATTATTTAAAAAGAAAAATATTTAAATAAACAGAAACAATTAAGACAATGTTTTAACTTTATCAATAATTTATGCTTTTCTCATAAACTGTAAGCTACTTAAGATGTATGATAAGCTGAGAATCTGAGATTGACATTCTTTAATTAATTTTCCATTTTCATTAATCTATAATAATAACACATTTTTAAATATCCTCTTATATTTCAGATTTACAATTCAATTTATGTTTACCCTTTACTTCCAGCTTGAACTTCTAAGTATTATAATACAAATGAGTATATAAAACATTTATAATTATCAATTTACCCAAACTAACATATTTTCGCTCTAAATTCAAAATACTGTTTCTTTTTTCATTTTTTTTTTTTTTTTTTTCCTTTTTACTTTTATACCCTTCCCCACCTTTTTTTTTTTTTTTTTTTTTTCAAAATGATTTTATTAGTTCTGAGAGATATATGAAATCAATTGCATTTACTTAATTCTAACATTAAAGCATTTTATCTTTCTAAGATATTTATCAAATTTTGAATAACTGTATGATTATCTACCATGGGATGAAATTAGGTGGATTTTAACTTCAGTTTTTGAAAAAAAAAATTTTATTCTCAGTTCATTTCAATAATATTTAAGATTACTTGGATGCTCATAATTAGAGCGGGTCAAACAGAACTTCAAAAATAAAGATCATTACATGCAATGCATTCCCCAACTCTAAATGCTTTATTTATTTCTATATTCTCTAATAATTATGTAACTATTTCTATGCATAATAATGAAGAAAAATAGATTTAGTCAATATGCTTTGCATAATGTTAATATTTAAAACTAGTAAGCTCTAGCTATAATTTATTATAAAAATAACTTCAAGTATCTTTCAAAACTTTCATACGAAAATTAAACTAATAGTTAGTATTTCCATCTCCGAGGGTGCCTAAGAGTTCTTCCATGTAAATAACATTTAAATCTTGTAAATAACTTGTGTCACTTTATCTCATTTTGTATGAAATGTTTATCTTATGTAACAATTTTTCAATATGTTTATAAGCTTCTGCACCAAATGCACAGTGTTCATTGATGTTTTAGACCTTGACACTATTATTCGAGCTTCTACAACACCCAATGCCTTTCCACATATAAAATATATCTTATTTTGTCACTCTTTGCCTTCAGTAAAATTTTATTCACTTTGTCTCAAGTCAAATGTTATTTTTTCTTTTCCAGTTATGCTTCCCAAAATGTTCTTATTTGCCAGATATGAATCAAACAAGTCTTATGACTATTTATGGCAAAACAAAACAATTACATAAAGTGAAGTGTCTCAGACAGCCACAATCTCCAACTTACATAGCAGTGTCCTGATGAAAAGTCGCCGAAACTTAGCTTTTTTCAACTTTCTGACATTTGCTTTTTAAGTTAGAAACTGATCGTCAAAGAATGCAGGCATCATAATACTAGAATATTCTTATAAAGCATCATAATACTAGAATATTCTTATAAAGGTTTCTGTCTTTCTTAACAGTTACTGACTTGAATGCTGCTGTGGACTTTATAATACTATTATGAGGCAGTTCTCTTCTGAAGATGACTTTCTATGGGAAACAAATTTACACTTGCTTAACATTATAAGAAAAAGTACATAAATATCACCTTAATATATGCATTTCATACCAGGACAAAACTAATAGTGCTCTGATTTTTAACTATTTACATTAGTTGGCTTTTATTGCAATTCAAGACTAACTGACAGGGGGAAATGTTGAAAAATTTATTATAAGTACAATAAACATTAAATATAACGCCATCATAGATGCAAAAATAGCATGCTATCTTCAAAATGAATAATCAATAAAATGTTGGAGCAGTCTGATACTGTTAACAAAGAGGGAAATGTTTCTATTATATGTCAGTAGCAAAGGTTTATTTACTCATTTATTAGCCCAAAAGGTTATTACAGTCAAAACTTCATTTTGCATTAATTCACATTTAATTTCAAAACTGAAGCTGTCTGCTACTGATAAACAAACAAAGCTATTTAAAGGCAATAGGTTCAGTTCTTAAGAATATTATTTTTTTAACTTTTTAATCTGATTTATTTAAAATGCATTTAATTCATGATATATTTTATTTAAAACATTAAATGTTTATCTAGAATTATGTCACATATATTTTAATTCTTCATATATACAGATGGGATATAACATTCCCATGCTAGTCCAAATGTCTATTTCGTACCCGATAAAATATTTTGCTATTTCATTTGGGCAATCTATTGGTATTCTTTAGTGCTAAACTATATAAAACTGTAAAAAGTCCTTTTGAGCGACCATTAAAATCTGATCCTTTTCAATTTATTTCTTTATTTATTAAATGATGTTAAGAAGCACAGTTTTAAATAATTTTACTATAAAATTCCAGAAAAATAAAACTATTTCACTGAAGAAGGGGAAGGAAGGGCTGCAAAATGATAAAACATATCTAATATGCAGACCTGAATAGCACTGATTATTAGAATAAAACAATTATTCTAAATAAAATGGATCAAATGTATAAAAATATTTCACATCACTTTTTAAAGTTTATGAAAATGTGTAATTAAAACATTCATTACACTTTCATCCCACCATCAAGGTAAGTCTTCGTTACATTAAGAAATAAAGTATGGGTGCAATGACAGCAATTCATAATAAAAGTATATATGCTTTTAAACGCTAATACATTCTATAAATTTTAATTTAACGTTTTTCAAAATTTATACAAAAAATGATGATAATGCAAAAACAATAGGTAAATTTTACTTTATAGAAATGTATACAACAATGGCTGAAAATTTGAATCTCCAAAACCACACAAATAAATTTCTGCTAACTACAAAACTCAGTGTATATAAATGCATATCAATAATTATAAAAAAATAATTTGTATGATATACTTGGACTTATCATGCTTGTCTGACATCAAAGCAAGAACACGAATTTGGTCATGGCTAAGAGTACATAATTACATGTGTTGTTGGCATGGACCTTAAGCACTCATTAGGGAACAGCACAACTTCCTAGTTTCCATGCTATCTTCTGGAGAATGGGACCAAAATCTAAGGATGCCTGAACCTATACTAAATGCATCACTGCGAAATTTCTACAGAACGAAACAAAAAAAAAAAAAAAAAATTTGATGTGTACACCATATGACGTCCTTGTACGGCCTATTAATCATATGCATGTTCTGTTGCACTTCATTTAAACTTTATTTCCTCGAATTATTCTAATTTAATTAACTGATTCCTCAAGGCAAGTTGAAAATGACATCAAAAACTGCAAATTTTTAAATTAAATAAAATGAAATTAGAAATCAAGTTTTTGTCATGCGTGAGTCAAGCTACATATAATTTTACTTTTCCATAACCAGTATAAAACTTTCCCAAATATAAGTACAGGAACTGAAAGACAGCATTAAAAGTTAAATTTCATTATTTATCGAAAATTAATTTTTTTAAATCTGATGTTTCCAAAATATGAATATTTTCATTATTTAAAATATTTCTTTTACTGGAAGTATACAATTAGGACCAACGATTGCGAAAATAATGGTCAGGTGTAACGGTTTGGGTAATATATATATATGTGTAATGAAAGCAATATTAGAAGTACTAACTCAGACGAAGAAATGTAGGAATGTTTTTTGGCGTAGATACTTGATGCTTAGATCCATATTGAGGAGGAAGAAGTTGAGCCGGATTAAATTCAATTTTTACTTAAATTCACATCTGTGGCCACAATTCATTTCGCACTCTAATCGTGCCTATTAAAGAACATTTACATTTTTTAATAGTTATTGTATTGAAAGAATGCACAGCAAAATAATGTCCAAACAGCAGAGACGTTCAAGCTAAAAGTGTGCAGGGAAGCTCGCCAAGAAGAAGGTTTTGGTTTAGGTTAGACAAGTTTTGTTCTCAAAATTCTGCTTTCAGATTCTAAACTGGCTATGTCATCGGCTTTACGCAAGTTCTGTGGCATAGATTAAACTAGAAATTACGCAATCCAGAAATGTTATTATTATTTTTAGAATAAGGAGGAAATAACCAAATTAAAAATGAGGTTAAGAAGGTATTATTAAATTAAATTCTAAAGCTGATTTACATATTTTTTATCTTATATACACTCATGTCCATAAATTAAGGATAATTTGGAGTCACGCGGAAATGGAACTCTAAAATAAATATATCACCCGTAAAATCACTACACACATCTTCAAGAATCATATGCAAATTTCAGGAAGAAACCAGATGACACTGATGATACGTCACAATGACGAGAGTGTAAGAGAGTGATAGGCAAAAAGTAAAATTGTTCTCAGGTTTTTTATAAGCATTTCAGCGCAATAACCGAATAGTTATGACACAAAGGACGCATTTGGATGATTTTTTTACGTGGTAAAATTATTGGCCGTCTGGAATGTGGGCGTACCCAACTGAAAGTATAAGACGAACTTGAAATTGCCCAGAGTGTCATCTCCAGGCTTTGGCAACGACTCCAAGATGAACGTGAGTAGATGTTACAGCACAGGTCGCCCCAGAGTTACAACGCCGAATGAGGACCGGTATTTGGCAATTACTGCCAAACGAAACAGGCAGAGCACAGACTCAGACCTGTCTCGTCAGCTCTCTTCAGCCACTGTTACAACAATTTCAAGGCAGACCGTATACAGACACTTAGGGCAGATTGGTCTATATGCTCGTAGACCTGTCAGATGCGTTCCACTTACTGCAACTGACTGTCGCCTGCGGTTAGCCTGGAGTAGAGAGCATGCATTGTGGACACCGCAACAATGGGCTTGTGTGATGTTTTCCAACGAGTCCAGGTTTAGCTTGCAGTCTGATTCTCGCTGGACTTTTATATGGAGAGCTCCAGGTTCCCCATTAACAACAAGAAAACATCATTGAACAACACCGTTACGGTGGTGCAGGAGTGCTCATTTCTGTTGGAATTATTCTGGGTTTCAGAACTGACCTGCATGTTCAAATTGGAACCATGACAAGCCAAATCTATTGGGACGTCATTCTGGAACAACATGTACATTTGTTTCGGGGTGCCATGGGCGCACAATTTGTGTTTATGGATAACAACGTCCGTTCTCACCGTGCAAACATCGTAAGCGAATGCCTTCAATCAGAGGATATTACCCGTATGGACTTGCCAGCATTCTCACCGGACTTGAATCCAGTACAGCACGTGTGGGACATGCTTAACCGACGAGTTGCAGCCCGTCAACCTCCTCCTGCATGTCTACCGGAAATTCGAAGAGCATTGCTTTTTGAGTGGTGTAATATCCCCCCAAGATCAGATCGATAATTTGATACTCAGCATGCCTAGGCGTTGTACGGACTGTATTGCATCGTCTGGGAGACATACAATGTATTAACAATCATACCAACCATGTAATATTGGGTTTTTGTAAACAGGTTTTTTTTTTTTTTTTTGTAATTTGCTCTGGGGAGAAAAAATCGCTAATTTTTTTAATAATATCAAACATATAGCATCTTTTTTTGCTCTTTATCTTTTGTTTAATAAATAAGCTTTACAAATAAGTCAAATTTATTTTGCTTCTAACTCTTCCTTTGCCTGATTTTGCATTATCCTTAATTTATGGACATGAGTGTATAATATATATATATATATATATACTAACAAATGATTTTTCAAAAGTTCTCCACATCTTCTACTACGTAACTGATATTTTTAGTGATCTAACCTCAATCCATTCACGACTGCAATATAATATCTTCTTTAGTCAAGCACTCATCTCTCATCAAATAATTGCAAGAAACTAAATCATATATATATATAGTAGTACGAAATTTGTTTTACAACAAATATACACCAAAACATTTCCATGCGAAATTCTGCAGAAATATTAGACAAAAATTAATAAATTTAGAACCTAAAAAACAAAGAAGGAAAGAAATGAAATACAATGCCTAAATCTCCCAATAAAAGTGTAAAAAATGTAAAAAGTTTTTATGTTTTGAATATGAAATATGTTTGTTGGAATGTAAAACGTTTTTATGCTTTTAATATGAAATATGGTTCTTACATTGTTTTTATGGTTGTGAAAAGTTTTTATTGTTTGATTGTGTTACTCTTCCTTATCTTTTTTATACATTTCTGTATTTCTTTTGTTTTAGGGATTTCATCTGGTTTAAATACTCTGAGTTGATAGGGTCTTTTTACAGTTTTTACATTTTTATTGGGACATTTTAAAGGTATTATTTTTGTCTATAATTAATTAGCACACACGCATATATATGTATATCTAATATTTTGGTAGGCAGGCACAGGGATGACGAAGCTTGGCATCAGAGTCTGGGCGTTGTTTGGCGGAGTTGGATGCAGCGAAATGACGACACAAACGAATTTAACTTTATAGCTCCATACCTTTATTCAATTCAGATGGCAGATCATTATTCATTTAGACGAAATTCTCCAAAATTACATATTCAATAGTGATTCAAACTAAATAAGATTAAATTTACTGCGTCATACTATTCGAACAAAGGGAGAAAGATGGGAAGAGCGGCAGCAAAGGTCTCATAGCAGCAGGAGGAGAAAGCAGTCTGATCAAAATGGCACGAACTCAGCATTTATACTAGCTGTTACATAAGTTACATAACATGCCAGAATGTTCTCAAAAGTACTGGTCTAGGGAAAGATTCTAAAATTGTGGAAAAATAATTATAGGTTGCCTGTTCCCGCAGAGCAAAGCCATCATATTTTTTATATTTTACACACACACACATATATATATGATGCATGATGTAATAAAACTGCATTATTATTGAAATAAGATGACTTGGTGAGAGTTGCAACGGATTGGGTCGAAGAGGACAGCATCATATCTTGAAAACTTTGCTTCGTAGTTAGAATGATGGATGCATAAACCAAAACACTTGCAGACATGGCCTAAATTGAACAAAATCAATGCAAGAACACGAATTTGGTCATGGCTAAGAGTACATAATTACATGTGTTGTTGGCATGGACCTTAAGCACTCAATAGGGAGCAGCACAACTTTCCAGTTTCCATGCTTTCTTCTGGAGAATGGGACCAAAATCCAAGGATGCCCTGAATCTATACTAAATACATCACAGCGAAATTTCTACTGAACGAAACAAAAAGAAAAAAAAAATTGATGTGTACACCATATGACGTCCTTGTACAGCCTATTAATCATATGCATGTTCTGTTGCACTTCATTTAAACTTTATTTCCTCGAATTATTCTAACTTAATTTATTTCTTCGATAATGCACATTATCATTGTACATTCGCTATGCACCCCACAATTTTTTGTACAGCTTACATCTTAAACAATGGGCGAACTTAGAAAAGTAAACTCCACAAGGCTAGCGGCAATGTAAACAGCGACATGAAGAAAGAGAAAAGAAGGAAGAGAGGGAGTTGTGATGCAACTGACCTTTTATACGAATTCCATTTCAGATCACAGAACAGTTTAATGTCCAGATTTTTGGGTTCAAATTTCATCGGTAAGTGCGCATCAGAACTGCAGGGAAACAAATTTATTGCTGTTATTTTCAGAATGAAACGGAAATTAAAGGGCTATTATTAATTTTGTTATTTGAAAGCTAGATTTTATTTTTTACATACAAGGTAACCAAAAACGTTCTTGCCGTTTCTGAAATGACACTGGAAGAGTGAACCCCAACATAAAAATGTCGCCAAACCTGGTGATGAAGTGGTTAGGATGGGAGTCCGGACATTGAAAAAGAGCATAAAACCGAGTTGCATCAGTACTTCAAACATAACTCACAGTGATTGATTGAAATGGATGTGTCAAAGGTGCTCGTTTGCTGTATGATTTTAAAGTGGCCCTGTCAGCAGCAGAATCAAGTCGCCGAATTTGCCAGACCTTTGGAGATGATGCCGTTAACGAACGAACCACTAAGCAATGGTTCTAGAAATTCAGATCAAGGAATATGTCTCTTAGTGATGCACCATGCAGCAGTCGGCCACAAGCGCTGGACGGTGAGGCCCTGAGAGCAGCCATAGAGAGTGACAGTAGCCAAACATGTGGTCATGCCAAACATGCCAAACATTTGCACTGCAGAGGAAAAGGCATACAAGCTGAGCAAGTGGGTACCCCACTCATTGTCCGATGCAAACAAGCTACAGCGTGTCGCTGCCTGTTTGTCCCTGCTTACTCGGCAGTGCAGTGCATCCATCCATATTTGATCAAGTACTCACCAGCAATGAAAAGTGGGTCCAGTATGACACACCCAGACATTGGTTGTCACCATGGGACTATGTGCCTCACACTGCCAGACCTTCTCTCCATCCATGCAAGATCATGCTCTGTATCTGGTGGACTAGTCCCCAAGTGGTGCACTATGAGCTCCTGGCAGTGGGCCAAACCATGACAGCAGGCCTGTACTTGCAGCAGTTGGAACGTGTGCATAAGGCACTGATGCATGAAGAGACAGTATTGGTTGTTCTCCTCCATGACAATGCGAGGCCGCATGTGGTTCGGGAGGACAGAGGCACCATCCAGCGACTGGGCTCGGAGACAATACCCCATCCACCATACTTGCCAGAACTCGCACCAACAGACTACCACCTTTTCTATTTTCTGGACAACCATCTTTGTTGGAAATGCTTCAACAAGCGGCCAGACCTCGAAAAGGCCCTCACAGACTTCTTTGCGTCCAAGATTTCTGAGTTTTACCGCGATGGCATCACACATCTAGCCACTCGTTCGCAAAAGGCACTGAATGCCAATGGGATTACTTTGAGGATTAGCTATGATTATTATTTGTTTTATGACTGTTTCTTTCTGACTGTCCAAAACGGCAAGAACTTTTTGGTTTCCTTGTATTAAGATATTTTATATTTTGCTGATGATCTATAATCTGGAAAACCGATAATCCGGAATCGCCGAAATAAAATTTCAAATAATTTCAATTTGAATAAAAATTTCTTTGAAAAGATAAAAGGAAAATGTATATTTTTCAAAGGAAGGAAAAGTTTGTGAAAAATTTGTATGAACTTTTTAAGCCAGAAAATCTTTCCAGGTAAAATATTTCATGCAAGAAAATTAGACACTGTTAAAATAAGAAAATATTTGAGATTTTATGAAATACCTTAATAGATTTTACTCTATATTACCATTAGAAATTTGAGGCATTTTCCCTTTATCTAATCTGGTAATTACTTCATTGTACTTCAGTTTTCAGAAGCATGAATAGCATTTGTATGACTTTGTAAACAGTAAGGTATTGTGGATATTTTTGAAATCATTATCAATAAGGATATATTGCAATACATTTTCATGATTACACTTATATAGAAAAAAAATTATCAAAATCGTATATCAACAATTTTAATTTTCATAATAATAAATTACATTACACAGCTACAGAAACATGTTAAACATGCTTTTATAAATTTATCAATAAAGTATCAGGATTCGAGACAAATTAATAATGCCTAACGATATTTTTCAGACTTTTTTAATTAATATATGACTTAATTATTGCCAGTTAAAATCTGAGTAAGGACAGCTATTAATCATTAATAATAGACTGAATAATTTTTTTAATGTTTACACTATTTAAATTTATAATGTATTATAATCATACCCAATCTATTCAATGACATATTTAAAATATTTCAAAAAATTTATTCATGATTAGAATTGTATATTATATTGTTAATACAGACAGCACAAAATTGTATACGTGTTGCTTCCCAAGATTCCAAACTAACAATTCAGCTGAATGAATTAAATAAATATTCAAATCCTCTTAAAAACTATGATTGAATCATATCTTAAAAACAGATGGGTACAGCACTATTGATGTTACCACAACTTGATAAATATGTGTCAAATTTGAATCCAATGAAATTGAAATAAACATTCATTCATTCAAGGAAAAAATTAAAGAACAATGCTTACTTCTTATGCATTGACAGATACTGTTTCAATACTGTTGTAATACTAAGATTATCTTGTTATTAATTGTTAAAGAAAGTATAATACTATTAAGTTACTGACTTTCATAAATAGCTAATAAGGGTTACAAATTAAAGGGGTGTCAGTTACTCATCTCACGTGTAACAGCTAAAACTTTTCTCTGTCTAGAATAATGATGTGACAGTTAAAATAGTAATAAAAGCACTGACAGTAATGATGATTACTCAATAGTATGGGCTGGGAGAGGTATATTAATGCTCAAGATTACTAACTATTCAAAGGTGTCATTAGTATGACAGACATTTTTGTTAAAATAGGCAACCAAGAATAGGCATTAAAATAAAGCAGTTATTTTTTAACATGATTAAATGCAATTATGTGATCATAAAATATGAAAATATATCAAAATATTTAACTATTATTACAACATCATAATTTAGGGATAAAAGCTTCAGAGTTCATTACAATAACTGTTTGAAGTGAATTACAGCTAAAAAAGAAAAGATGATCATTTCAAGTGCATATAAAGCTCACAAACTCTAAGAAGTTGCTCTTAGGGCAAAATGACATAAGAATGAACAAACTGAAAGATAATAATGAACTAATTACAAATATGAAAATGTACCATCATCAATTTCAGGGTACGCAACAACTAAGAAACTATAGTAAATATAAAGGTGGTTTTTTTTTTTTTTTTTTTTTTTTTTTTTACTTACTTCATCAGACATTAATTACAAAGCATTATAACATATTAGTGGACTTTTCTTATTTGAAAGAGGAAATATTCTCACAAACTTACATATAAATCTATAATATCCATACAAACATTTCACACAATTTAGTAAAATTACAAAGGCACAAAAATTAGATTTTACAGCTTTTAAATTTAAGCAATTCACAATTTGAGCACATCATTTATTAAAATTACAGAATTAATTATCAGAATTAATTGTGTCATTTAATATTAATAATTGCCTCATAAAAATATTCTAATATTTCTCTTAAACAGAGAAACATGAGAAACACAATTCTAAAAATATCTCTTACATATGTACATATAACTAAATTTCTGCAGATGGGAAATAATAAATATAAATAAAAATGAGAATTTTAGACATGTGACAAGAAAGAATCAGTTTTATTCCAGTCACAAAAATGTAATCTAGTGCAAGTCACAAGCTAATCTACTGTACTAAAAACTGAGGCAGATGTGTGTTAAAAAAAATCTGTGATTTCCCAGGAAATCCTCTTTGGCTTAGATGTTTACGTATAGATAAAGTATAAAAAATGAGGACACTGATTTCAAAGATAACCTAAATGTATACATTTGTTGAAACTTTAAAGATTATATTATATATAAAGAAATAAAAATATATCATACAGGTCAAAATAAATAATATAAAGTATATAGGAACATAACAAGTACAAAAAATTTTGTAAATAAATTAGCAATATGATTCAAAAACAATGCATACAAATCAGATGCAAATTAATGAATATTATGAATATCTGTGATTGTTTAATCATTTTCAGATTCACAAAAACTTCAGCTTTGATAAAAAAAATTACTAATTTTGTATATAATTAAGTAATTCAAAAAATACATTTAAAACATGCAGGCTAGTGCATAAAACACAATAATAAAAATAATCGAATTTTCCATAAATTAAATTACTTTAATTACTGAATACAAGTTAATAACCAAACAAAGTAAAAAAATTCAAATGATGCTGAAAAATCACAACCTGTGAAATATTTATATGTAATATTCGGCTGAAAATAATATATAAAAATGAATGAAAATTTGGAAATCAGATATATCATTTGAAGATCATTCAGATTCACAGAATACAATAAGAATAAGAATTATAGAGAAAAACAGCAGCAAAATTCACCTCAAAGTAAATAAAAATCAGGTAGTTTTCAAGTAATAAAATAAAATGGTATTAAGCTTTACAACCTACATAAAATTCTATTAAATTAAAAATATCAAAATAAAACATTTAAATGATATAAAAGAGTTTAGTAATCCATTAAGAAATTAGTAATCCATGTTTCCAAGTGTTTAAATCAGTTAACTTACAAGAATTACTCTCTAGATGCATAAAACTTGCCCTTTAAAAATTATGTTTGAAATTACACCAAATTATTAATGAATTTCATCACAACTATAAAAGTATTCAAAAGTTTGATAGTTTTAAAAACAAAAATAAGGAATATAAAACTCAAACTGAAAGTTATTTAATATACTGACTTCTGAATTAGAACTAATACTGGAATTACTTTATGGTGTCTATTAAAAATTAACCTTTTGGAATTATTATAAACTGTATAATTATTATATAATAAATTTACATTTGCTTAGTTAAGTTTTTAAATTCTGATGCATAATTTATTATATATATATATATAAAGATTATACATGTTTTATATATTGTGTGAATTTATATTTCTGAGGTAAGCTTAATGTACTGAATTCTATATTCATTATACCTGATTCTATATTCATTTAATTAGTTGTCATTTAAATTAACCTAATTTAAAAAATTCTGGTTAGATCTTCATGAATAAAATAAGTATTTCAGAACAGGAATTAAATACATTCTTGATTTTTTGTATAAACTGACTAGATGCGAACAGATAGTATATAAACTATATTTTAAAAGTTTAATGCACAGTAACAGTGATTCAACAAAAGGTATATTTACCATTGCACTTATTCATAGAAAAATATTTTTAAATGATATAAAAATTACTGAAATGATGAAAAAAAAGTCTTATGAACATTCTTGAATTTTGACCTGCAAAAATTGTGTTTTGTGTAAAATACATAATGATATAATAGGAATCTTTTTATAATTAATATGTAATTTATATAAAGGTATTTGATATCATACAAATTAATGACCTGTGAAAATCTGTTTGCATGTATCAATGATAAAAAATTTAATTTTATGATAAATAAATCATACTAGAAAAATTATTTAAAATTTAACAGTTTCTGGTGTTTAAAATTATGATGTTTATTTAATTTTAGCATACAATAGGAGCCACTTAATTGTGATCCCATTTGTCCATAATTATTTTGATAACATTAACTGAATGACAACAACATTAAACAATGAGAAAAAATATCCTTTAAATACTGTTTCTAGAAATTAGTAACATTATCTAGAAATTATAACAAATGTTTCTAGAAAAGTAACATTTCTAGAAATTATTTGGCCACCAAATCTTAATATTTAGAAGGCATCACTCATTCAAAAAGAAGTCTATGTAAAATTTTATATTAAGCAAAAAGGCAACCTTAGTTTGTAGTATATGTTTTGTGGGAATTTTGTTTTCAAGAGAAGAGGAAAACTTCTGGAATTCTTTTTTTTTTTTTTTTTTTTTTTGAGGGTGGGGGGCGTTTCTGAAGGGGGGAAAAGATTTGTGTCTGATTGCCTTCAAAATCAATAGAGTTAATCAAAATTCTCTTCAGACTGAGGTTGCTTTTTTATCTACTTTTAAATGGTTAACTGAAACTGAAACCAAGCTATTTGGTAATTTAACCCTTCACTTGGAGATATTTCTCCTGTCACTTTTTATAATCCACTTCAACCTTATTTGATGACTTTACTTTGAAAATTTTATTCTATAATAGTTTGATCATGTAACGGATTTGTTGATCATAATAAATCATGTATTTTCCATGTTTTTGTATGCAAACAGGTGGGACTTCAGCAACTCGATAACAGTATGATAACATTAACCAGGATTGCATTAAGCAGGGTCTACTGTAGCTTTATAGATGCTTGATTTGATCCACACTAAACATGGTTAAAATTTTTAAACAAGAGGTGAAAGGGGAAAAAATTCCATTAATTAGTCATAATTAAGCAAAATAATCATCATTATAACTCTAAAGATTAATATTATTAAAAGTAAATATTTTTTAATGTGAAACATAATTTACTCAAATGTAAATATTTTAAATACAAACTTACATTTAAACACTAACATAATGAAAGGAAATGATAAAATTGCACTTTCTAAACACATAGTTAAAACCCGCCTCATAAAAAAACACACCACAATTATTGCAGTGGACTCTCATTAATGTAGTACTCAAGTAAGTCATATCTTCTCTGTGGGAAGCATTTCTCTTCCCTGCCTGAGGTGCATGGACATTCAATGCTAAAAGACATCATTTAATGGATTTCCAGGATAAAGAACCTATGTATATAGCTTGTTTTGTAAGGTATTCTCATTTCCAGGGGCACATCCATGCATATATAACATAGTCTAGGGTTTAGGTTAAAATAACACACCGAACAATGATTAATTTTAATGATTAATTAAGTCAAACAAAAAAATCAATGTTATATTTGCAAATTTTCCAGGACTAGTTTCGGCGGTTTCTGAGAAAGATGGTTCGGTAATAAAATCATCGAAACTAGTTCTAAAAAATTTGAAAATATAACGCTGATTTTTGTTGTTTGACTTTTAAATTAAAAATAGCCTAATTTTCAGTGGACATCAGCTAAGTTGTTGTTACAAGGGATAATTAAATAAAGTTTATTTTTATTTGAATTGTCTATTTAATCTATACAGGGTACTGTACTGATAACCTAGGATGCTGAAAATGCTGGAGATAAAACTGTTCATCTCTTTCTCAAAAGCAACCTCAGAAATTCTATCCAATTTTTTTAATGTTTAGCTTGAAGATGAAAGAAGATTGGTGGAGTAAATCTAGCACTTTCTTGCTGTTAATGTGAATGGAGCAGGGAGAGTAGACAGCAAAATTACTGCATCTTTAACTTTCATAAGCTTGGAATAAGATCACAGCAGCATTAATTATCAGTCAAAAGATAATGCTGCAGATAATCTTTCAAATACCTTGCAAAACTGGAGAATCATGTTGGGGGGAACACAGAATTAATGCCAAAGAGAGATAAATGTTTATAATGACCAAAAATAATTGACCTCAAGTTAAAAAATTGTGTTTTTACATGACATTAGTTGAAAATACACAATTTTTTGCTACACAAGCATATAGCTTTCAATGAAAATGTTTCTTGAGTATTCATTTATAATACTTATGCCTTTATTACACCTAGAAACATGTGGCAGAATAAGAAACTTCTTCCCAGCACTAGTCTCAACAGGTTTCTAACCAAAAACAAGGTGCATTCAGAGATCTGTTGCATGTAAGTAGCCACAATATTTTATGACATTTGGAGGGGGAGGGGAGAAATGTGCCAGTAGCTCTGTTTCATGTAGGAGACAAAGGAGAGGAACCAACCAGAGGGAGGTGTTCCCCAGAAAATTTCTTTATTGAGTTGTGCATTGATGTATCTGATAAGGATTTCACTTTTACTAATTTATTTATTAACATTTTATATATATACATACTATATTACTATTTAAGTTATGGCTGAATAGAAAGTTTTAATTTTTGAAATGTATATTTTCCCTTTAAGAACCAATTATCATTTGTAAAGACAAAAATCTTTTGACTACCTGCATTCATGAAAGTCCACTGCAGTTATTTCAAAATAACAAAATATAAAATTTTAGGAGCATGCAATCTTTCACACAGAGACAATCTTTCAAACACAAGCAAAATTTGCACAGTATTTACAAATGCTACATGATTGTCTTTAAAAATTACTAAATTGTTAAAAAATATTAAAATCATTTACGAGATTTTTCAGGTACAGATAATCAGGTTACAAAGCTGAACATGCAGTCCTCTTCCTTTTGGTACAACCACAAATTTTGCAACGAACAACCTTAAGAAAAAAATGAGCCAGGCATATTATAGCAGGACTCCTAGTTAAGGCTCTCTTCCACATTTCCATACGTAAAAAATCAAAAGTAGTTTCTTTAGAAATAGATGTAATTTGTTCTATCACAGAACTTTTCTAGCATATAATATTTCACATAAAAAGAGTGTAAATATATATTACAAAATAAAATTATAAAATTCTCTATCTAGATTCTGAAGTTCTCTCTTTGGGTTCCTTCTCTGGAATTCTCTCTCCTTGCCTAAGATACCTAAAGCCTGGCTCATGAGAAGGATATTGAGGTCCCCTCCGTTTGTGATGAGGGATGTCCTCTTCTAGGGAAGTAAAAGTTCTAAAAAATGATTGTCCATTTGGGGAAATACTATTCTCTCGTTGATACCTATGGTCAGATTCTGCAACAGATGACTGATTCACAGGCACATTAGCAGGAATATATCCTGGTGAGAAATTCTTGGGGGGAGGAGAACCAGCAGGTCGTTCATAGTCACTATATAACTGATTAACTATTACCTCCTGGCTGATGCCATTTTGTGGAGAACAAGAGTTGTGAGATTCTGAGGAAACAATGTTGGATAACATGAATAAAACAAGTGAATCACAAAAAAAAAAAAAAAAATAAATGATTGCATCAAATTTCAACTAACAGAAAACGAAGAAAAATTAGAATGAAAAAAAAAAAAAAATTAAATAAAATAACAAAGTTTTGTGCACTAAATGTGAAGATATTTCCTTATTCAGGAATAAAATAAGAAATTAATTTCATTTATAAATCGAATATTCATAAAAAGAACTTTTTATTAGATATTTGTTATCTTTGCACAAAATTTAATACAGATGTACTACTCAATAAGGAATACATCCAATAAGGATATATTCTACATTTTTCAAAAGTTACTTCCTAAATTCATATACAATAAGTATGAAAGTATAATATTTGCATTCAATCTGTTAGTAAATTGTAATTTCCATTATCAAATGAAAGGAATTTTGTTTTACTTTAACACATGCATAACTTTTTTTAGTTACATGAAATTAATGCCAATTTAGCATCAGGCATGCCATTTATTAGCATTTTATGCATATACATTGGATGAATTAATGTTTTAATTTTTTAAAAAAACTTCATCGTTGCACCCCATTTTATAAAATTATTAATTAACTGCTCATCGTGATAACCCCAAATTTTAAATTGCAAAATTAAAATTCCTTTCCTAAAATTATTTTAAATGTTACCTTTTTGGCCAAGATTCACATTTTTGCGCAGCATTTCTTCTGAAAAGGCTTCATCAAACAATCGCAGTAAAAATGCTTTGTCTTTACCTTCCTGAAACAAATATTAATGACAGCAAGTATAAGATATCTATACACAGAAATGAATAATATAAAAGATAAGACATTCATATTATTATTAACAGAAAAGTCATTTAAAAGGAATTTCAGTTCAAAAATATTATCTAATTTCTAGAAATTATGACACTGTGTCAGCTGGCAATTAGATTTTTGGTGCAAAAGAGGAAACTTCTTTATCACAGCTAGAATAGTGTTTGTAACTGAATTGTCAACAGAATCTACTTTAAATAAAAATAATAAAAAAAAATCTGATGTGTACATTACATGACTTCCTTGTATGGAATATTGAATTATATGCATTTTTCTTGCATTTCATTTAAACTTATTGGATTGAATTAAATCTACTGCGTCAATAGCGCATAAGATGCAATAGAATAAATGCACTCTATAAAATTTACTATATTTGTTTACCATAACAACACTCTGGCGCTAGGTTCACTTAACAGCGTTATTTTTCGTTCATATTATAATTCAGAATGCACAAAATTTATATCATTTGAAGAATTATCTAATCATTTTCACATGTTTTATTCAAATACTATAATAAATCTAGAATGATGCATAAAGGAAATTAAGCAAACAAAACCAAAAAGAAACAGTTTTCCACAGACAATTCAGTATTTCTCATTCAATTAATTTAATTCTCACTTCACGACAAGGCAAAAATATATGAAAACTCAAAATATCTATATTAAAAATTACGAAGTAAATCTTAAACACTTATTTCCTCGAAACAATTCCAGAAAGGATTAAGCATAATTTAATTTGCAATAATAAATGAAGGCGTTTTATCTTTGTTGTTGCGAAGGTAAGTTTCTCTAGATTCGACAAGAAATCCACTATCCCGCTGTTTCAAATGCAAACAAGCTATGGCCGTCATCAAAAAAATTATTAGGCTTAGCGTCACTTAAACAACTTTAAATTTTTGATAATTCTAAACATTTTGCCTACAGATTTACTAAAGGCATAAAAACCTTAACTGGAAGATAAGAACAACATACTTCAATCATTTTTAAATTAAAAAATGTACAATTTACAAATATACGAGTATAAGAGTATAAGAAACTGAGATCACTGAGCCAGGTAACAGAGTGGATATACATATATAAATATATTTATATACGTTTGGTGTGGCCAATTGCAACCAAAATACAAGGTGCACATCTACATGTTATAGCAGCCCTATATACAAAATTTTAACGTTCTGAGGCTACTCGTTTTTGAGTTATGCGAGATACGTATGTACGCACAGACGCCACGAAAAATTCTCTGCAGAATTAACTTTAAATTAGTTTTACAATTTTTTCGAGGGAAAAGAGTCCTTTATCCTGTCCTTACGTACAGATGTCACACAAAAACATCATTAAATTGCATTCGATAGAAGTCAAAATGGATATTTCCGTTGAAATATGCTGCCTGAAACTTTTCGCAATTACAATACTTCCTTTTTATTTTATACAAGGAAATAAAAAGCAGTGTTTAGGGTAAATCATTTGCGCTTTTGCAGCTGAGGACAGTGGTTCGGTAAAACCAACGAAACTAGTCCTGTGAAAATTTGAAAATATAACGCTGATTTTTGTTGTTTGACTTCTAAACTGCCTGTATGTTGATGATATTATTGATGGTCAACAAAATTTAGAATAAGACCTGAAAACAATCTGAAATCAAACCTGAAATCTGGTCTGCCAAAACTGATTGGGACGATGAACTGCCACCTGATCTTAGTTAATTCAAAATTTACAGAACTGATTATTGAAAGAGAACATGGCAAGTTAAAGCGCAGTGGAGTTACAGCCACTTTAGCCAGCCTTCAAAAGAATACTGGATATCGAAAGGCCGACAGCTTGTGAAGAAGATACTTAGAATCTGTCTTATTTGTAGAAAGTACATAACAAAACCTGCTCACAGATGACTGCACAGCTGCCAAAAGATAGAATAGTTCAGATTCCACCATTTCATTTTTTTGGGGGGTGTAGACTTTGCAAACCCAATTTTGGTTAGATCAGCAACTGGAACTGATAAATCATATATAGTTCTTTTCACCTGTGCCATTACCAGAGCCCTTCATTTAGAGCTAGTATCTAGTATGTCAACAGAAAATTTTTTGATGGCTTTCAGGCGATTCGTATCAAGACGAGGACATTGTTAAACAATTTACTTGGATAGTGACAAAACCTTTCAGAAGGTAAACTGACATTTCGAATACTTTTCAAAAATACTAAAGGATTTCAAATTTCAAGATTTTATTGCCTGTAAGAAAATAAGCTGGAAATTTATTGCAGAACGTGCTGCATGGTAGGGAGGCTTTTACAAACATTTAGTGAAGTCTGTGATGGATTGTCTAAGAAAATTACTTGGAAAAGCCATATTAAATTTTGACGAGTTAACTACTATTTTGACAGAAGTTGACTATGTCATAAATCAAAGACACTTAACTTACACTTAGAATGACTTGGAAGAATCAGAGCCTCTCACACCAGCACACTTTCTCAAGTTGGTAAGAAAAAATCATATTTATCCACTTCATTTTATCGATATGATTGACATCATCTTGAATCGAATAGAAGTTATTTGATCAGAAATCAAATAGAAGTTATTTGATGAAAAGTGTGGTAGCAGAGTTATATAGAGGATGATATCAACATGTTCATTCTTGTTTAATTAAAACGTCCAAAGGACAAATTAAAAGACCAATACAACTCCTATATCCTTTAGAAGTTGTGAACCAACTCGAGAACTATTGACTTTTTTCCAACATTTAATAAGAATGTTTTGAAGTTATTGATTATTTAGTAATTTCTTATTTAGTAATGATTAATTTGTTTTATTTTATATTTAGTAGATGTTCAAAAAATTTGTTCTTCTTTTTAATTTGTGATAGCAAGTAATTGTAAGTAATTTGATTTGGATTTAATTAAAGAGACTTAATTGTGTGAACTCTATGAGTTCGGGTAGGGAGTGTAGAGAAATGTGATGTCATATGGCGATAGGATCGCCCCCACCCGAAGTAAAAAAGTTTAGTTAGATGCTAGATGGGAATGCCGCATTAAGCAATATCTTTTGATTCGTAGAATTATCTATATGTTGATTAATTAACTGATTAACTGTATACAGTGTAAATAAATATTTAACTGAACCTTGCTTTGAGTCAATCATAGACATAGATATGTTAGAATTTTCGACTTAGAATTAGCCTTTCGCATTAGTGCTTGACAGCATTAATTACCTTTCTTATTTTTCAGAATCAAAATATTCTTAAATCGCACTAATGTCACTTTAAAAAGTAATGTCACTTTAAAATATGACAGGAGAAAATAAAAATGTTTCATTTTATTTCTTAAATATAATTTTAATACATTATCATTACTTTAGTAATATTTATCAATGGTATTAAATTTTTAGGAAAAAAGTCACCAAAAAATTTGAACTCAATTTCTTATACAAATTTATCTTATCACCAAAATGTTGATAATGCTCCAAATTTAGCACCGCACTACAAAACAAAAAACAAAAAAACAACAAAAAAAATTATATTTTGATCGAGGTAGGGCCTCATATTCAGAAACTCTTTTACACTGTTTGCATCAGAAATAGGAACAAATTCAAATGATAACCTATCAAACATATATTTGTCCATGAATCATGAAAAATTACTCCTACAAAATGTTTATGTTAGTAAAATTATAGATCCTCTGCTGATTTTACCTAAAATTAAGGACTTTAGGATCAAAACTCATTTCCCCAAAAAACCTAAGGCCTTTCAAGGACCATACAAACCCTGTTTTTTTTTTTTTTTTTTTTTTTTTTTTTTTCATGGTAAGAATTGTTTCAGAGACTAAAATAACACAACTAGATATTTATCACTGTTCAATATCAGCACAAAAGCTTCTGCTCAATATATGGCTTTTCATTTTACAATGTGCATCTTTTACAATGTGCAGTTATTTTTGCAAGTCATTATTTTTTTTCCATTGGGTTTTACAATAATGTTCAAAACAATAATCTTTGATGAACTTAGTAAAGGTAGACCCATGCAATTCACATGCCATTTCTGTTTACTTTTATAAAAAAATAATAAACTTTTATAATTTCTGTTTACTTTTTTTTTTTTTTTCTTGAAAAAATTAAGGAAATAAAATAGATGATCGCTAATAGCAAAGTTTACCAAGCAAAAAATTTCAGTGATTTAATACTGAATTCATGTGCTAAAATTGTTCCCTTTGACATGCGCTATATTATTTTTATAATTTTTTTAACTAAAAACTCTAGAAATTTAATATTATGATCCTAGAGATAAGTGATGTATGAAATAAAAAAAATCATATCTTGCCCATTGTTCTGTGGGTGGTGGTCGCACTGTGAAACCAGCGCACGTCTAGAACTTTGAAACTAACTGAGGTTTCAAAACTTATTTTTATTTAAGTTGTTTAGGAATTATATTTTCTTATGACCATTAATATTATATAACATCAGGCAAAAAATTACTTTATTCATGATAAAAATAGCCTTTAGTGTACCACTGAACTAAACACAACATGATACAAGTTACATGCTTTACAGTGTCCTTTATTTTTTATACAAAGAAAATTAAGGACTTAGGAAGTCTTAGTTTAATTATTCACTGTTATTATGAATAGTTAATTTATCCAAACCTCAAACTAAGCACCTACATAAAGAGCAAGAGAAATATCCTGCCACTGTATAAAGAGTAAAGGATTTAACATGTTGTAATACTTCATATTTCTTCACCATTTATATAGTACAAAAAGCGAAGACTATTATAATTTAGCATAAATGAAGACTTCACAAATAAACTATGCTAAAGTGTACATTATCATCAGTTTCAACCTTTTACAAAAGATATCATTTTAACACAAAAGCAAAACATTTGCTTTTCAGAATAGCTGTCAACTGCATCCTAACCAACAAACTGATACAAAAATGAAGTAAGCTTACTTACAAAGAATCTTAATGTTTTGGTCAATGAAAAATTAACAATACAAAACAACTCTATATACATGCATATGTATGCATATACATTATTTTACAAAATTAATTTTCACAAAAAAGTTTCTTTTTAATTTACCATGATTAACTGCTCTCGTATCTTCTTGACAACTGAAATGTGAGCTTTGGCTTGAGCCCTCATATAATAAACCACAACACTAGAAGAATTTTAAAAAATGCTTACAAGACAAAAATTAAATAATGAACAACAATACATATAACAGTAAATATTATGAGAATCATCAGTTTTGCCATTTTTTACCTAAATAAAATTAAAATATTTACTTCCAATAACAAATCTTTAAATCTTTAAGCCATAAAGTGGAAAATATATAATTTTAGTTGGAATATCTCTCAGACTATAATTACATATTTTTTGGACCACACACAGTATTGGTGATATTAGCTACATGACTTTCGAACTAACTGTGTGCTGTTTACTATGAAAGTATCTGTGCTATGATAGTGCTGATAATGCACTAGAAATAACTGTGCTGTTGAGGAAGTACAGTAGAACTGCAATTACCTGAATCAGTTGGAACCGGACCCCATTTGGATAATTTCATTTTTTCCGAAGAAAGGTATGCGTACACTTTAATTAATTACACTATGTTGAAAATGGGAGAAAAAACCATTTTTTAAGAAATAGAGATTTTAATTAATTAAAATGAAAAGGCAAAACTTTTACGTATATGTTATATAGTGTACTGTGCAGTACGTACGTACAAGTGCTGAAAGTTAGTGCTTACTGAACATCTCGGTCAAAGTAAGCCGTCTGACTGTCTTTATCACTTTTCGGGCATATTTTATTTTCAATAAAAAATCAGTCCTGCATGTGGTCATGCTCGAGCTGACACTCTATCTACTTGGAGTAAATATGTTTGAACATTTAGAACAGCTATAAAATCTAACCACACTGCCAGCCCATTCATCTGAGATTAAACTTAAGTCAAATTACCTATATTCAGTGGTCTCAGCCACTTAGCCATGGTGAAGGCCATGGATTATCAAAAGTGTTACCAATAAGACATACTTATATTCTGGTTCATAATTTTGAGACACATAGATAATAAATGAAATAATAGAACATATACTCATTTTAAAAGAGGCATTTTCATTATTTCAATATACATATGCATGAAAGATATTATGTAAGATAAAATTTTAACTCTAATTCATTACCACTCTTTAAGACTTTTCTATTTCTTTTCAAAATAACAAAAATACTTGCATTCTTTTTGAAGATTACCATTTCAAAATTAATAAGTATCATTTTTACATGATGCACAAACTTGCATAATAGCAAATGTTGAAGTAAAACTATTTCATTTTATAGTATTCAATGAATCCCTTCATTATATAGCATTTAATGAAGTCTTTCATTCAACAGCATTGTAAACATCAATAATACACTCTTTATTTTTCTCAGTTCGGCCACTTTTTTTTTACTCACAAGTTTTAACACTAAATAAGGAAAGCATATATTTGAGACTGTTGAACAGTGGATGTGCTTGTCCTGGCACTTAAATCATCTCCTACATTTTAATATTATGAATTATGCTTAAATGAAAATGTTCTGTGAAAATGCTATAACTGCATAAAATCAGTCACCCTCATCATAAATATCACATCCTAAAATTTTAATATGCATAGGATAAAAATTTTATGAATGCAATTTATATTTCTTTTCTGTCATGCAGTTTATATTTCATTTTTAGAGATGCATTAACAAATTATATAATTGCACTAATAAATATTTTCAATAAAAAATCACATTAATGAAAAATTATTTTATGCATAGGATAAAAATTTTATGAATGCAATTTATATTTCATTTCTAGAGATGCATTAACAAATTATATAATTAAACTGAGACATATTTTCAATAAAAAATCACACTAATGAAAATTAAAATTTTGCATTAAAAAAAACTTACCACAAAGCACAAAACACAGCAAACATTACACCAGGAGAGGATAAATATTTGATTATTTCAGAAGCAAGGTATTCCTCACCCTTCTTGAAGAATATATTACGAATCAGATCTCCAGTTTTATCATAGTCTTTAAAAGGACCACACATTGATGGATCTATTCTAAAATCAGAAAGAATAACTATTTCAGATTTAAACACTATGCATAATGTTACACACCAAAAATGTCCAAAAATCTTTAAAGCAATTATTCCTGCTATGTATGTAAGAAACACAGATTAAACTGTTTTGAAAAGAAACGCGTGACTCTTCTTTCACTTATTCTACCAACAAATTTACAAAAATTACAATACAAAGTCTTAGCAATCAGGTTTTATTTTAAAAAACCTGATTGCTAAGACTATAAAACACATCTGAAGTGAAATATACATTTGACTAACTTAAGTTTTTAGTATAAGAATAAAGGCAACTGCAACAGCAGTATTTCAAAATGAAATAAAATGCCTTCACAAAAGAACAAAGGCTTCTGTAGAGCAACATAATGGTCGATTTCCATATATAAAAATTTTGTAACAAATATGAGTCATGCAAGAAATTATATACAGTGCACTTACTGCATTTTACAAAATAAAAAAAATCTGACGAGACAGTTAAATTCAAAAACACTTTTTACTTTTAATTACTTATTAAAATGCATTAAGGACAATCAACTTAAAAATCATACATACAAACAATAAAATTAAATAGAGTAGACCTATATATGTCTAGCTTAAATAATGTCATGATTTAACTGAATACAATCCATATAGACAGTTGTCTTAATATATGTATATATATGAATTCATTTTAATGCAAAGCAAGGAAATTTATTTAGATTGTTGTATTTTATTAGAATGAAGAACTGAGTTAAAATTAAATGTTTCATATCTTGTACTTTTTCTAAATCTCACATAAATTATTTGATCTCAAATTGAAATGAAACAGGTAACTTACAAATTTACTGTGATCAGATAAAAACTGAGATACTCTAAAATTAATAAAGAAAGCCTTAGAATGCAGTCTATGGTAAATAGGAGGAAAGAACTTTTTAGTGCCTTTAGTATTACACAATGAAATACATTCTTTATTCCAATTAGTCAAATGCTTCTTACAATGAAAGAATTTCCAATAACTCTTTGGAATGCTAATATTGAGATCCATGGATAAATTTAAAGCATCTTTAGCTAAGAAATCAGCTCTTTCATTTTCCACAGCATCTATGATGACCACGCACATAAGCAAAATGGATATCAATTCCTATATTTCTATGTGAACTGACAGTTAAAAAAAGTGTTTCGAATATTAATTTGTGGCTGCTGATAAGTGAAGAGAAGAAAGAGAATCGAGCATATATGGTACCTTGAGGAAGCTGTCCCATTATCCTTGACCCACTTGATGGCAAGATAAAGACTGAGAAGTTAAAACACTGATAGGCACTGAGTTGTTTTAATTTCTGCTTGAAAAATCGTGCATTCATTCGGAATACAGTGCTTAAAATAGCAAACCTCACATTGGTCTTCAAAAAGAAGAAATGCATGGCCAACCTTATTGTTCGTTTTAGTGACATTTGTGAAGCAAACCATATGAAAAGACTTGGTGTCTTTTCAGTCACAGAAATATATGGACTCTAAAGCAGCTCAATGAGAAACATCGGGAAAGGTGAAATTTCCATTTATGTAGTCTTCCAAAGTTCAGGTGCCAATGCATCGAAAATATTATTCTTATACAGTCAAAAGTCTTTAATCCAGGACTCGTCGGGATTTTGGCGATTTTGGATTATTGGTTTTTCCAGATTATAGATCATCAATTTAAATCTGGTAAAATGACATGCAGAAATTATAAAATTAAAAATATGAAACCATAATTTATGAAATAAAGAGCAATTATGATCTAAAGGGTATCAAATTTACAAAAAAAAAAAAAAAAAAAAAAAAAAAAAGCTTAATATTTATTTATTTACCTTATTAAACACTTCTTTCAACGCGCGCATGCATAAAGCATACATTACGCATAGTCGAAATTAGAAAATTGCAACCAGAAAACTATTTGATGTGTATTCGTCATATTTATAATAACGGGGAATTTAATCTAAATCATATCAAAGACGGAGTACATCGAGATGAAATACTATATTTAGTAAGGAATTATAAGCCGAATAAATAAAAACATCTGCCCTGAAGATGAGTATAGTGCTGACAGATCAACTTCCAGTTCATTGTGCGTCGCGACGTCCCCCCCCCGAACTTGATAAACAGATTTCGGAATGAGAAACAAAGGACATGCCTTTATCCAATTTTTTCAGCAATTCCACTTTTTGTTTGATGGACATCAAAAAATGCTTTCGCTTTGTACATCCTTTGGCAGCTCCAGAATCGGAAATTCTTTTTGACATAATCGAAAGTTCAAGCTTACTTTTATAAAATTGCTCTAACAGTCTGCAAAAAATAATAAGCCGGATCCAATTAGAAGCTTAAGGAACAATGCAATCTGGAACATTAACTGAAATAAATAATTTTAGCTTAGCTTATACTGTCCATTATACATTAAACGCGCATGCGTAAACATATTAAGCGCATGCATAAACGCATTTGTAGCTTTGAGGTCCAAATTGTAGATCATTCCAGATTATGGACATCCGGATTAAAGACTTTTGACTGTATTTTATCATTTATAAAAGCATTATTGAAATTATAGTTTTTACTTTTATTATTACATTTTACAAATTCACACAAGCTGGAAGACCCCACAGCTTTCTCCTAGTACACACATATCCAGCTATTTGGGCAAATTTGCTTTAAGGAACTCCTGCATTAATTTTTCATGAGTGGTTAGTGAACTGCACTAAACATTCCATGTATTAAAAAAAATCACACTCCATTATATGAAAAAATAAAAATCCTGTATAATAAATTAAATAAAGTGGGAGTCTTCAAAGTTTATAAAAGGAACAATTTATATGAGGAGGGTAAAAGGAACAATTATGCAGAGGTTAAACAGGCCTCTGTTTCTAATCAGGTACTTCCTCTACTGGAACTTGTACATCCCATTGGGGCTGAAAGTGATATGAGAAATTTGAGATACAAGGAAAGTATGAGCAAAACATTCGTCTCTAAATATGAGCATTGACTCGGGTAACAAGCAATCAGCGAAGCTGTTGGAATGCATGGCATGTTTTCCGAACTGGCTCTTCTTGGGAATCCCCTCGTCAGATCACTTAGTATTCTTTGATCTATGTATTTGTGCACATGCGAGTTAATTGTTTTTTTTTACATTTAAATTGAAAATAACTATTTCATGATATCTCCCAAGAAGACTGTTGCCTCAGATAGTGCAGCAAAAGAAAAGAAGGAAGCCATGGTAGTTGAAATTAAGAAAGAAATCATAGATAAACATAAGAGTGATGGAATGGGCAAAGATTTATGGCCATTCGACATCGACAATCTGAAGAAGAAAGAAGAAATTAAGAAACTTGATGTGGCCCAAGGAGTTACCATTACTTCCAAGCACTGTCCAAAACTCTTAGAAGATATTGAGAAGCTGTTGTTGGTGTGAATTAAATAGAAGCAGTTAAACGGTGATTCGGTGTTGGAAGCTATCATTTTCACTAACGCTAAGAATCTGTACTTGGACCTTCTCCATAAAACACCAGGTACATCAACTGAAGATGAGATGGCATTTAAGGCAAAAATGGTTCAAAAAAATTTAAGAGAGAACTAGTATTCACAGTGTTGTACGACATGCGGAGGCTCTGAGTTCAATTACAGCTACTACTGATAAATTTTGACGCGAGTTCCAACTATATACTACTAGTGAGGGCTTACTTCAGCAGCAAGTATTTAATTGTGATGAAACAAGTCTTTCTTTGGAAGAAAATGCCTAAGAAGACCTACATGATACAAGAGGAGAAATCTTTGTCTGGCTACAAGCCAATGAAAGATAGGCTTACCTTCCTTGTTTTGTGCCAATGCAAGTGGAGATTGTAAAATAAAGCCACTGCTTGTCTACTACTCAGAAAATCCAAAACTTTTCAAGAGTGGGAAGGTGCAGGAGAACCAACTGAGCATAATGTGGCGGGCCAACAGCAAAGCCTGGATAACACGGCAATTTTTTATCGAGTGATCAATGAGTTTCAATGAAGTTTTTGGTCCCTCAGTGAAGAATTATCTTCATGAAAATAAGATTCCACTCAAAGCTTTGCTGATCCTTGATAATGCTCCTACATATCCTCCAGGGCTTGAAGATGATTTGCTGAAGGAATTTCAGTTCAGAAAAGTCGAAGTTTCTTCCCAACACCACTCCACTTCTCTAGCCTATAGACCAGCACGTTATTTCCAACTTTAAGAAGCTGTACATGAAGGCATTGTTTCAAAGGTGCTTTGAAGTGACTGCAAAGGCAACCCTGATCTTCAGAGAATTTTGGAAGGTTCACTTCAACATCCTCAATTATTTAAAACTCATTGATAAGGCTCATTGGGTTCACCGGGAAGAAGTCTCAGTGGGGACCCTGATTTCAACATGGGAAAAAAACTGTGGATTCAGAGTATTCCTGACTTAGGTTTCGATCCTCAAGCGGTGGACAACAAAATGCAGCTAGTCTAAGAAATTGTACCTCTGGTGAAAAGTATGAGTCTGGATCTGAGTGAGTTAGAGGAGGAGTATAATGAAGAATTTCCAATGGATAAACTTAAAGAACTTCACAAGGAGCAGCAGCAAGAAGTGGTAGAAGAGCTTTCATTAGGGAAGGAGGGAACAGGAGATGAGGCCCTCTTTTCCAGTAAGATTAAAGAGGTGTTGGCAAAGTAGGAAGAAATGAAAACTTTCTTTGAACAAAATCATTCTAATAAAACAGTGTGTGAGCAAACCATGAACTCGTGTAATGACAATATAGTGCTGCATTTTAGAGGCATCTTAAAAAGGAGACAGTAGCAAGTGTTATTAGATAAGTTTTTGGGAAAGCAACCTGCAACTAAAAGAAAGGTCAGTGATTCTAACCCAGAACCTGCTTCCAGTAGGGTGAAATTCCCAAGAACAGAGGGCCTTCCTGAATCAGAGGGGGACTCTCCTTCTCCACAGTAACCCGTTTCATGTTTCCCACATCCCTATCGCCAGTCAAGATTCTTCATAAAGGTAAACTATGGTTATATTATTTACCAGTGTTATTTATTAGAAAAATTTATTTTTATATTGATATTTCTGTGGGTACAGAATGGATTACCTGGATTTCCATTATTTTCAATGGGGAAGTATGTTTCTAGACAAGAGAAATTCACTATACAAGCTCAATGTTGGAATAAATTAAACTCATATCTCGAGGTTCCACTATACAGGGTTATTCAAAAAGAAAGAGCAGATTTCAAAAATTTATTTCTTCCAAACTACACTAAGATAGAAACATGATTCTAACGTTAATGGATAGAGAAAAGTTTACAATTATAGTATGCATTCAATATGAGCACCGTGTGTTACACGACAAATGTCAAAACGGTGGCTCATTTCTTGCCACACACGAATTAGCTGGTCTTTGGTTATCGAAATCACTGCTTCAATAATTTGATGTCGTAGATCTTCAAGAGTGTCAGGCATAGGAGGAATAAAAACACGCTCTTTTACGTAACCCCAGAGATAAAAATCGCAAGAAGTGATATCTGGAGAATAATTTGCTCTTTCTTTTTGCAATCTGCTCTTTCTTTTTGAATAACTCTGTATAATGAATTAAGGAAATAATATGAAATGCTAGAAAAGCCTAATTTAACTTTCTACTCTTCAGAAGTGACTTTTAGCACAGTCAAATAAATGTATTGAGTGGTGACAGAAAATTGCTTTTACATTTTATAAATCTTATATGATTAACCTCAGATGATGTGAATGATGATGAACATGATGTGCATAAAACGTCCAAAAAAACGTATTATAACAAGCGAACAAAACTAAAAACATTAAAAGAAAGCCATTCTTATATAGATGATTGATTACACATCCACCCACATTTGCCTTGCCCCCCCAAAAAAATCATATTTTAAAATATAAGAAAAATAAAAGTTCAATCTCCAACATCAAAACTAAAATTATTTGGTGCAATCAATAAATTAATACACATGCAGTTCAGAAAGATACATAACATAAGTAACTTAAGATATAAAAGAAAACATACGCAAATATTACATATCCCACAGTGAATGCAGAGAACAGGAACATGAGAAATGTCAGAGTCAGGTAAAATGTCTGAGCTTCATTTACAGACCATAATCTTTTAGGTGGTGTACAATTGTAAGTAACAGAGAGTGTTTTAATGTAAAATAACAGAATCAGCATTACAATAATTAGCACTGGTGCTAACGGAATACAAAAGGCACCTATCCTGAAAAAAAGGGGGAGGGGGAAATGTTATCCATTACATAGAATTAAAATAAATAAATAAATAAAGAGAGCTTGATGAATTTATCATCATTATATATAAATAAATAAAATGGTACTTTTACATTTAAGGACTTAAATAAAATTATAATATTGCCTTTGCAAATGAGAAGTAAACTCATAAACACACATATTTTTAAGTTATACTGTGAAATAGTTTCATGGAAATTTTACATGGATATGCACACTACATTAAAACATAATTGAAATGCTATTCCCTTCTGCTACACAATCTTTACATGTATCAATTTAAGATTTTAATACATAAAACATGGGAGAAAAATCTGACATACAATGCAAAGAAAAATACAACTCAAGTGCCTTAAGAAAAGACAGGGTATAAACAAACATTCAACTTCGTAATAATTAATATGATGATTAAACATAAATAAGTATATTTTATGTAGAATTACTGCATGAAGTTTATTGCACTGGGATCATATAAAATGGTAGATTTGCTTTTATATATGATTTATACAATGTAAAGACTGTTTTCCCTAATATTCTGCACATTATGTTAAGAAATTCTGTGACTAGACGTATATGCCTAAAATTGTTTTTTAAGGAAATAAATTTTCAGCCATAGATATTTCTTTCAGACAGTGTCTGAATTTCTTCACATATAAAAATAAAAATATATACCCATTTTTCCCACAGAGAAAAAAATAGAAAGATGTAAGTTATGGGGCAGAGCACACAAAGATAAAAAATCCTTGTGTATAGTCCCCTCACCAGTTACAATTCAAAGACCAATGTCAGAAAGTCAAAAAGTCTGCAAAATGTTCCAGACAAAGCTAGTACATTAGAATGTTCTGAAATTCCGAACTAAAGAAATTTTTGTCGATAGGAGAGCTTCAAATAATTGGAAAAAAAAAATTATTACGTACTCCAAAAAGCAATCCACGTAATTATTTCCATGTATTTAATTATTACTCATTAATCCGTTTTTGATACTGTAGTAGTGTTATGATAATGCTAGTAGTACTTCTCATCAATTTATAATGAGTATCATTGAGTTCAGATTGTAGTGAAATATGCAAACTAACTAAAGCATAATCAAACAATCAATCATTACAATGGAGTTGGGACAGTTATTTGAATATGGCTAAGTGTCTGCAGTGGCGGATTGGCCAAAGAAATCGAACCTGGCAGGATAATATGCCAGGCCCAAGGCTCCATACGAGATGTCACATACATATAAGTTGTCATCACCCTCATCATAAAAAAAATTTGTAAAATAAATAAAAATATACCTTTGCAAAAAAGTAACACTTTATTCATATATATGCAAATAAACTACAAACTATAAATAACATTGACTGAATAATTATATAAATAAAACTGTGGTTGATTCATGATTAGCCATTTAAATGTTTTATAATTCCAGGTGCCTGGGCAAGTATTTCCTCCATACATCTTCAATTTTTGCTTTAGCCAAAATAGCCTTCTCTATGTTCATCAACTGGAATTACTCCAAATTAGCTTGCTTCATAGTATTTCTTGATTTACTTTCAAAATTTTTAATTTTGAAAAAGCTCTTTCTCATTCAACTTGCATTATAGACTGGGTGAGTAATAAGTAAAAAAGACACTGGTATACGTAACACTATATAAATTATATTTCAAGAGTAATTTATACACACAAGATCTGCAATTTTTGCAAAAATTGCATTTTGCTTTAGATGAATGCTCATTAAATAGATAGAGCTCCCTTCCTTCTGACTCGGTATCAGATTTAAAATGATAATTTTCAATTGAATTTTTTAGCATTTCCCATTTACTTACTAGGTTCTGATATTCATCCTTAAGATTATCAATTGTTACATCTGCATAATATAGATAAACAGGTGAATGATTTTGGCGACAATGGCTTTGAAAAGTTTTGGGGATCGAGAAGAGATATGTCTTCATACAACTTTCTATGCCCTTTAAACCTACTTTCTATTGATGAAATGTTATCCATTATCAAATTAAAGCTAGTAACTTTGAATTGTTTGATAGAGCAACTGAAATTATAGTTGGACGATTCTTTGTCATCCATTTGCATCACTTTTCGGCATCTTCTAGTATGTAGTTCTTCTATAATTATATCACAACCCAGCCTTTCTAGTTTATTATTGCAATCCATTGCAAATGATTTTGATGCATTAAATATTTAAAGTTTCTAGAAAGGGCTTTTAAAAAGCTTGTAACATTCCTAACCTTATAATGTGCTAGGATGTAATCTAATCCATTAGTCTGCAAATATTTCATTACTGGCTCAGTATGTTGAAATATTTTCAAATGTATGTGAACAGCTAAAATTATTCTAAAAGTTATTTTATCCAGAATAGATTTTGCATTTGTCCTATCTGTGCATTTTGTTTATCATTGGAAGCAATACTTTCGAGTGCAAATATTAATTCTACATATAAACAATTATCTTTGCAATCGAATGTGTCAAAAATTTGTTTTAGAGTGTCTTTTTTCTCGAAGTTTCTGTGCACCTCCTTTGATTTTTCTTTATCCACTCTACGTACCTAAAACATAATGCAAAATAATTCAACTGCAATATTTTTTGCCATAAACTTGCATTATTCAGTGACACAGTAAAATTCACTAGAGTCTTTTTTTAATTACAGTTATAATGCAATGTTTTCAGTTTCACAATTAAATTAGAACATGTCTGTACTGTATTTTCATAAATCTACTTTACGACTGTTGAATATAGGCTCTACCCTATCCCTACCTTACAGCCTACAGAACTGCATCTAATTTGAGTTTGAATGCGATATGCAGTCCGTGCATCCATGTCCCTCTCGCCGAGTCATCTGTGTTGATTCGATCATTCAAGTTTCTTGATCGGCCCTAAATCGCTCCAGCCCTATCCACGGTGGTAAATTATATTTTAATTTAAAACATTTTAACTTTTTACTTAAAACATAATAAAAAATTCTTTTCTATTTAGAGAACAGGTAGCTATGGCCGACTGCTTTCAAATTTTTCTTCTGATTGTCTGACATATTTCTATTCAAAATTTATACTAATCTAAGTGTGCCTTTTTACTTAATTTGAATATTCTAGATTGTTTTTACAAAGTTTAAGATTGTGCCAAATTAGAAAGATGCATATTTTCCAAAATTTATATGAAAATTATTATGCTGTTATTTACCCAGAGTCTCAGCATTAACCACATGGTTAAACTCCACGAATTATGATAACCAGATGCATTTTCACCAATGGTGGTCATTTGCACCTATTGTTGGACAATGAGAATTGCCAATTATTGCCATTAACTCTCACAGTTTCATATCAGTTTTGATCAAGTGCCCATTTTAAAATGATTTATGTTGTAATTTCTTACCTTGAATAGTTATATAATATAATCCATGAATAACCAGGGATGCACCAGGAAAGGGGGTTTATCTGTCATTGGTCATATAATTTAAGCTCAAAGTGATAACAGCATATTCTGCTCATCTCAATATTGATTGAAACCAATGTACAGGATAGAATTCTGGAGTCTTATGCCTCTCTTTCCTCACCATTAAACTCTTGAAAGGATTTCACTGCTAGAAAGAGCCCAGCTCTGCAATGATTTTATTTCACAAAATCCATGACCTAGCCAAGGTTTAAACCCACACTCTTGAATATAATAGCCTCAGCTGGTCACCATATTTACTAGGCAGCTAGAATTATTATGTAAAAGACATTATTTGATTTTCCACCAAATGTAATTTTCTTGAAATTCGTTTTGAGACAATAATTTTGAAAATTTGTGGTTTTTTTATAAGATGCCAGCAATATCATATGTAAATGTGACAAGCAGGTTGTCATAGAATGCATATCTCTTGCAACAAAACTGAAATCAAAAACAACTGCAAAACAAACATTCGAAACTTATATATTAAAATATGTATATGCATAATATGTATACAAACATAACATTTCAAAAGAAGATAAAAGAAAATAGAAAGCATTATGGTTGATGTTTATAAGAAAAAAAGAAAGGGAAAAAACAACATATGTAATGTAAAGCAAATAAATCTCTAAAGACAACAAATTAGTATACACTTTTTAAAATGAATTCATTGAAAATTCTCATTGAAATTTTTCATAAAATTGTCAAAACAGATAATATATACCTATGTATAATAATTTAACAATAACTAAGTATGGAAACAGACATTTTCATTAATGTTTGCCATTACTTACCATGCTAATGTTTGGCAATATATCAAGTCAAGTGTATTGTAAGCAACATCAAATTTGGGTAGCTTTATTGATGGAAAGATATAAACACAGAGCAGTTTCCTAATACATTCTCCAAAAATAGTGAACAGAATAACAGCCACAAGGAAATTAACAATGATAAGGCGGTAAATTTCTTTGCCTAATTCAGTTTCATAACACTAGAAAATTAAAACAAAAGTTATAATGACGATAATTTTAACTTTGAAGACATGAGTTGATCATTTTTATATGATAAAAATGCATAATACAGTTCCTTTACTATAGATTAAGAACTTACCTATTAATTCAAATATTTAACAACTCCTTTTTTTAATTAAATAATGTGGCAGAATAATGATTACATTATCACTTACAGCAACTTTTAAAAAAGGGGGAGGAAATGAATATCTATACTGGAAAGTCATTTATGCAATAAATAAAACTAAATATATAAAAAAAATTAAATAAGTGATTTTATTACCCTCTTCAATAAAATTGACATGCATAGACATTTTGTGCATACACACATTGTATAACTAGTATTTATCATCTTGTACACAGTACTCGCATTTTTATGCCTATATAATAATACTCACAATTCTTCATTATGAATAGAAAAATACATTTAAAGTGAGTGGCAAACTCGAAATATTTAACACTCCTGAATAATTTAACCAATCAAGGACTCGGGAGTTTTCTACCACTATGCTAGTCTGTTGTTCAAAATATAAATCTTTTTATTTCCTTTTTCACTACTTAGAGATCATTATAACATTGTGATCCAAAGATTATGAGACACATAAAGTAAATAATTTTAGAGATGTATAGATAAATATTGCTTAAACACAATATTATGAATTAAAAAAAACTGATGTCTTGAAAGAGACTATAATATATCATATCAGTACTATTATGATAGAGTAAATAATTTTACAAATGTAAGTAATAAATACTGCTTAAATACAATATGAATTCAAAAAGCCTGATTTCTTAAAGAGACTATCATATATCATATCAGTACTATTAAGATAATATTGGAGTTCCAAAGCAATGAATATAAAATGAAAATTATTAAAATTCAACTAGCCTTTTGTCAACAAGAAAGAAGAAATATAAAAATTGTACATGAACATTTATAATGATATAATATCTTTTTTTATTATTTAAACAAAGCTAAAATATTGCCATTAATGTTAAACTACGACTTATCGCATACATGCTCAACAGGACTAATGTCAGGCGAGTATCGAGGCCAAACCATTCAAACAATATTCTCAATTTGAAGGTATTTCACTACCACAGCAGCTTGAAGAAGCTAAGTAATGTTAACCATAAACAAAAAAATTTGGGGCTCATGCTCTAAACAACCTTACTTGAAGATGCATTTCTCCGAGTGACTACAGAACCTCTGTTCTAACTAACTAGCCATTTTACATGATTCCTCCTCAGAAATATAAATCATCACCATAGAAATAGAATTTTTGAGAATATGCATGCAATGGGAAGTTTTATTTTCCAGACTATCTCCAGATGGAATGAGTCAATAAACAATATTTAAATACTAAATACAGAGTCATCCTTGAACAGTACCTGAGCTCAGTTATCTTGGTTCCAATGATAATGAAGACAACATCACTTTAAACATTTTTTCTTGAAAATGCAGAAAGCAGGATGTAATAATTTTCTCATATAAAGACCATATTCTTAAAGCTTTCAGTAAATAATAGGTCAGTTTCTGTTCAGAGATTCCCAAAACAACTATCCAGCAGTTGTATAACAGTTGCTCTACATCAGTAATAAGAAACTGTCATTATTCTCAAATGACCCTTAAACAGCAAAATGATTCAGACCCGTCTTAAATTTAAGATCATTTTGCTTCAGGCTTTCATTCAATACCTTTAAATACAATTAACAACATCTTACTACTTTCTAACTTTATGCTTAACCAAAGAAACATTCCCGAGTCAAAAAAGTTTTTTTTTTTTTTTTTTTTTTTTTTTTTTTTTAATTATTTGTTTAGCTGTGTCTGCATATTACGTTCACAAATGTCTGCAGAATAGTAGATTTTTGTGTTTAGTATGATATAAATTATACTCAACAGGATTTTAGTCAGTTTTTGTTCAATTAAGAAAATTTTCCCAGTTATTCTAATTCAGAACACCAGTATATAATAATAGTAAGTTTATAACTTATTACATCAAAAAGCCAGTAAATAAAATACCAAAATTCGCAGCAACATCTGAGTCTTAACATCAAATTTCTAGGCATTAAAAGGCCCCACTCAAGAAGAAAAATGTGCCCACACAGAATTAAGTAATGAATAAAATTGTTGGCAATTTTCGAGCACAAATACGCCAAAATTAACAAGAAGAGTTTGTTGAAGATAAGCAACAGAACTTGTTGAGACTGAACAAAATATGTTTAAAAGGCCATTATTCTACTAAATAAAATATATCATCTGGCTGAGCATGATTATTTAGGAAAATATATCCTTAGATCTGATAATCCTCCTTTTTCAGATGCTTTAAGATTTAAATAATACCATTTGATATATATTCCTAGAAAGAAACAAGAAAAGAAAAACTAAAAGATAAGTCAGCAGTTGTCGAAATTGAGAAAACATATTATTAATGTGTTTTTGGGTGATATTACAGCAGTTTATGTGATTATAGAAACATTTATTTCATTATTTTGCCAATAAATGAAATTTGCATGATTTATTATTATTTAATTTGCATGATGCTCATCATCCAGTGATGTTCACATGCTGTTCATTATCTCTGTATCTCTCTTACATACTCACTCATCCCACACCAGTTTCCTCACTTTACCAGTTCAGTTATGACATATTTTGCTTTGTTTCCTAAACACATAATTCAACTTAGTGATAATAAATTTTATCAATATAGGTTGCCATAAAAAGGAAATAATTGATAGAACAAAGGGATTTGCACAAGCAGGTTCATGTAATACACATATAATTATATATAAATATTCCTGAAGAAGACCAAAAGGATACTGAAACGAAACATATAACTAATTATAATTATTTAAAGAAGAAAAATGTGCCCACACAGAATTAAGTAATGAATAAAATTGTTGGCAATTTTCGAGCACAAATACGCCAAAATTAACAAGAAGAGTTTGTTGAAGATAAGCAACAGAACTTGTTGAGACTGAACAAAATATGTTTAAAAGGCCATTATTCTACTAAATAAAATGTATCATCTGGCTGAGCATGATTATTTAGGAAAATATATCCTTAGATCTGATAATCCTCCTTTTTCAGATGCTTTAAGATTTAAATAATACCATTTGATATATATTCCTAGAAAGAAACAAGAAAAGAAAAACTAAAAGATAAGTCAGCAGTTGTCGAAATTGAGAAAACATATTATTAATGTGTTTTTGGGTGATATTACAGCAGTTTATGTGATTATAGAAACATTTTTTTCATTATTTTGCCAATAAATGAAAATTTTAATTTTTTGCTTTTTATTTTTTGCAAAAATTTTTTTTTAAATTCCACATGCATACATTATATGTAATTCTGAAATTTAGCCAAAAAATTAGCCTTGTAATAATAAGCTAACTTTTCTCATAGAAATAAATATTAACTTACTATATTTTCCTTACGAGATGGACTATATATTACCATCCAAAAATAAACAATGATTCCTAACATTACTGTCCGCAAAATCATAACTCTGAAATAAAATCAAAACTGATTAATATAACAAATAAAACATACTTGAAACATAAGTTATGCATTATGATTAAGCAATTACTACATGCAAATGTTTACCCAAAATAAATACAGATTTGAAAACAGATAGAAAAATACATATTTATTACAAATGATATGCAACAAGATTGCTTTCAATCAACAAACAGGCATTTAAGTAAACTCAAATAAAAAACTTATGATAAAATGTTGAAACAAATTCTAATCAAAAATGTTTCTGTATTGATCAATTTGGAGGGGTGAAATGGTTACGTTTTCATCAATATTTATTTAAAAAAAGGCCTACTTTATAAAAGTTGCCTAAAAAAGAGACAGGAAATGAAATTGCATTATCACACTTATATATAACTTGCTCAGCAATGCATTTTTTTACATCCTTTTTAAACTCTGTTGCCAAATGTACTATCTTATTTTCTTCAAAAGAAAAATTAATAGTTTACTAAAATTAACATCTGAAACAGTCATTTTTTTCTCACAGATTTCAGCACCATGAATTAATGATAATTTTTATCTTGCTCTTTGTTATATTTTATAAGTTTATGCTTTAATGCTCTTTTGCATATAATGTAAATGCAATGTGAAAAAAAAAAAAAAAAAAAAAAAAGAAATTAAGTGCATCATTATTTTTTTAATTTATTCTAATTTAGAAATACAGGATTTTGTTATATTTTAATAAAACTTATATTGATTCTTTTAAAAACTTTATTAACAGACACTGCCCTCATACCTAATTAATGATTTTTTTAAGCACCATACTTTAACTTGGTGATGAAAATCTGATCCTCCTTAGCTTAACCTTCCTCCATGTATTAAATTTCACTGAACATGCTGATCAGAATGAGTTTCAAATGTCTTTAATATTTTCAGCTATCACAGCTTTTAAAATGAATGCAATCATTAAAACAAATTGAAACTATGACATTAAGTTCCTATACCTAGCATAGGTAATCAAAATTAATGAAATATTTTAAATTATACTGGTCATTTCAGTTTACATTATCATAATTTAAACTGTTGTCTAGAATTAAAATATTATATTAGCTTACTTTTTATATTATGATTAAAGTGTAAATAATTATATGATTAAAGTGTAAATAATTTGTACAGCAAAAATAAATGTAGTTTTCCTTTAGTGGCTGAATATCATTAAATTTCTTTTGCATTTAAAATTCAGGGAAGGCTCTGAAGACTTCTAAAGTATACTGGAGGGCAAAAAAAAAAGTAGATCAGTTTTATATATCTCATTCTAGCTGGGTGATAGATAAAATTTGGTCTGCATTTGTTATTTCTCAAAAGCATGACTTAAATTATGTATTAAATTTAAATATAGCACTCTTCTAACATGTATTTTAAAACATAATTTATTTTTTTCTGAAATGGCATGAAATTTTTTTTCAGTATTTTGATTCTATGCCTCTAATTATGCCTAAATACCAAATTTAGTAAAAAATGCATAAATACGTTTAAAAAAAGTGTCCAAAATTTTAAACATGTAATAATGATTGAACTTGATTTACCATTGATAATACTGCTTTCTAATTACATTTTCTCACACAATCTGTAATTTTAACATAGCAAACAAGTTCATGCATTTCACCTGAGTTTAAAAAATTTTAACTGATAAATTATTTTTATAATTAATGCTTTGTTTCTCATTACAACCAGTAAAACATTTACATACCATTTTCAAGTATGTATTTTTTATTTCGACTATTCAAAAATTTTATATGTACACAAATATAAATATTTACATGCATTTAAGCATTTAAAATGTTTGGAGAAAATATTTGTTAAATGCAATAACAATATTAAATCTATACACTATATGCTGTTTTCCATTATTCAATTTTACTATAGTAGTAAGTCTTCTTTTTATTTTTCACTTCTTTTATCAATAAAATGTGTACGATTTTTCTCCCTTTTTATTGCATGAATCATGGTGTAGTTGGAAAGCAAATCTGATTAGCAACTAAAAAGTCTGGAGTTCAAGTCAGAATGAGGACACAGCCAATTTTTTGTGTTTCCCGCTTCGAAATAAACTAATGACACTACACATTCAACAGCCTAATTTTTATTAATATAATAAATTAAACATTTTAATTTTAAAATAATGATAAACTAGCAATTTTCACAAAATTACAACTTTATTAAAAACATGGCTACGTAAAATGTAATATTAGGCAAATATGCAACTTTAATTTGGTGTAAATTTAGATTAAAACTCTATAAGATTTTAAAGGCAACAAGATAAAAGAAGAAGCAATATTTTTGGATGGAGAGATTAGATAGCTTTTAAAACAGGTTTTTTTTTAGGGGGGGGACGGGAGTTAGTTTTATTTTTTTCAGTATTTGTAAAGATTGAGTGTGCATTAAATATTTTTATTTAGAAAAATAAATTTTAGCATAATTTTGCATAGTTTTAACTTTTTATGGTTATTCTTTTTTTAAATATTAATCTGCAAAGTGTTATTTTTAATTATATTTTCAGGAGACCATGTCCCTTTCAGTGGTGATCATCTTACAGAAATGATTGTTGTAAAATATACATATATGTTTTAAGAAACACCCTATGCTTACTTGTTTAAAAGTCAACTTAATATAACAGTTTTAATTGTTACTCTCTACTGATATATTTTTCAAGATATTAAATTCAAATTCTTTATCTTTGTTATGGCAGAGGATATTAAATATTAAATTTTATTCACAAATGAATGAAATATGAAATTTTAAAGAAATCTGTGTCTTTAAAAGAAATTCAAAGTATTTCTCCAACATCTTTACCATTTTTTAAATTGTACACAGTAAAAAAGGGGGGCATTTTTTAAGAAAAATAAAACATTGTTATTAAAATGTAAACTAATAAGACACAAAATTTAGTTTAAAATCCTGTTAAAACTGGCTGACGATCATTAATTGCAGATTTTCAAAAAATTTCAGGGTACATTAGAAAATCATGAAGTAATATTGTTTTAGGTGGCAAATTGAAAACTTATACTGAATATGAACTTAAATAAATGCAAAGATACTCATATGATTTTTCATTAAATTTAGTATTTAGACATAATTCAAGACACAGAACTGAATTACGGGGAAAAAAAAATCACAATTTTGTTTTAAAAAATGTCTGATTTCATGTCAAAAATTGTATGGAAGAACGATACTATATGTAAACCAAATATCCATTCTAAATCCATTATCGAAACAAGAAAAATGCAAGTTGAATTTTGTTAATCTTAAGTGGGATATGAAGAATTGCTCCCTTCTTTTTTGTATATATCATAATTAATGAATAGGAATTTTATAACCAAAGGTTATTGAACAAAATACTGCATTTTATAAATAAATTTTAGAATAAAACTGAAAAAAATTTTAAATAAAATAAACCTACAAGAGAAATTAAAATTTACCTGATCATAGTCAAATACAATTTTGTTTTTCTTTGAAAATAAAACTCAAGCTTTGTAGCATAATTTAAAAGGAAATAAAATGCACTGGATACTAAAGTCACAGTTAAAGCTAGCGTCATATCTTCAAGTACCTTTATACTAACCTGTAAATATCAAAGTATACAAATAATTCATTAGAATCCACATAGAAATCTTAATTTAACGTACACCAAATTCCCTCTCATCAACAAAAGAAATTAATAATAGCATAAAAATAGCCACTACAGTACAAAGTCCGAAATCCAGATGTCCATTATCCGGAATGATCTAAAATCCGGACCTCAAAACGACCAACAATGTTTTTCGAGTAGGCTTTATGCATACTCCTTTCATTTCCCCCTTTGTGCATAACAAAACATCTGGAGAGTCCCGATTCTTAATTTCACTTTAACACTAAATTATATATTTTGTTATTGATGAAACAATCATTTTAGAATAAATTAGTATGGTTAGTAATTTGGCTCCATTGCTGTGTATCATCTTGGCACACATCTCAAACCGAAACATTCCGATACATCCTTGATCAGCCACCAACCTGGCGAATCATTATTTATTATACTTTCCTTTCATCACCACATGCTTATCAAAAATTGACAACTTGAGTAATGTCTCATGTAGTGATGCATAAACAAATTTTTTTATGTTAGTAATTGAATAATAAAGGAGTATGGTAACCTGTTATGTTGACATTACACTTGGCGATGACTACAGATTTAAGTTAAATGTGCTAAAAAATGTTGACGAGGATACATTTATCAAAAATTTCTTTCCGTATGCTAAAAACAGATTTTGCTGACGATACTCATAGACCCAAAAATTACATTTAGGGCTATTTGAATTAAGAATAACTGATTTGTTATTCACATAAACCCAGAACCAGCAGCAGGGCTCGAATGGCCACACTGAGTCGCAAAATTTAGAGGTTGCATCAGTCGATAAGATATCTAGCGCTGGCCCTCAAATAATCTTAAGTATATATAGGAATTTATATAGAAACTGCATCAGGTGATAAGGTATCTAGCGGTGGAATTCAATAAGTTAAATTACATTTAGGGCTATTTGAATTAAGAATAACTGATTTGTTATTCACATAAACCCAGAACCAGCGGCAGGGCTCGAATGGCCACACTGAGTCGCAAAATTTAGAGGTTGCATCAGTCGATAAGATATCTAGCGCTGGCCCTCAATAAATCTTAAGTATATATAGGAATTTATATAGAAACTGCATCAGGTGATAAGGTATCTAGCGGTGGAATTCAATAAGTTAAATTACATTTAGGGCTATTTGAATTAAGAATAACTGATTTGTTATTCACATAAACCCAGAACCAGCGGCAGGGCTCGAATGGCCACACTGAGTCGCAAAATTTAGAGGTTGCATCAGTCGATAAGATATCTAGCGCTGGCCCTCAATAAATCTTAAGTATATATAGGAATTTATATAGAAACTGCATCTGGTGATAAGGTATCTAGCGGTGGAATTCAATAAGTCTTAAATATATGTGGGAATTTATTTATTCAGAATTCAGAATTCCGATGTGCAAGAAATAGACATAAGTATAATAAATAACTAATACAATTCAGGCTCAATTGTCTCAGTGCACGAAGAAGCAAGATAAAATTTAACGGAACAACTTGTCGTTAGTCACCAAGCTATGCATAGCAAAATATGTATAGTGAAGGATAGCTAAATTTGATGATGATAGCCGCTAATTTTAAAGGTTTCTGGATATCACAAAATAAAGGTGAAATTTTCCAATTAATGGATTTTGTAAAGAAATGTGGAGATGCGGTAATAAATGAAGATGATATAAAACAAGTTTTTCATTGTGATGACAATGCTTCTCAATCATCAATCAATTAATGAATGGTGAAATCTGTAGTATGGTTCTAAATCCAGAAAATATTGCTACTGATAGTGAAGAAAGTAACAGAGAAGTTACTGAAAACAAGAAAATTTCAATTGTCAAGACAGTCGGAATTCTCGAAACAGCAATTATAGGACTTCAACAATGTAACTAAACAAGAGATTATGTCTGTCTACAGAATTAAAGAGAAAGTATTAGCACAAAAAACGAAGCAACTTAAATTGAAAGTGTTTAATAAGGTAGACAAATAAATATTAAACTTTTTTTTTGTAAATTTTGATACCCTTTAGATCATAAATACTTCATTATTTCATAAATCATGATTTCGTATTTTTAATATTATAATTTCTACATGCCATCTTACTAGATTTAAACTGATGAACTAATATCCGGAAAAATCCCACATCTGGAACCGCTGAAGTCTCGACGAGTCTGGATCTCTGACTTTGCACTGTATTATCCTTGAAATGGCCATCCTATATTTGTTCTGACACTGTCACTCAGTATAAGAAGTAGCTGTATGTTATAACAGTAATACATAAAAAACTACTTTAAACTCATGATTTGTATTGTTAAAACAAGTTCTTTATCATTGAAGCAAAGAACAAATATTTGAAGTACTCTATTAACTGTCCATGAAAACCGACAGCAACAGGCATATCAGATCTGCATTGGTGTTTTAATAATTTTCTGCTCATCATTTTGTATTAACCTACAAAAAAATTGCAAAAAAAGTATTTGCAGCAAAAAACCACAGCATCAAAAAAACACTATTTACTATGATCACAAATCTCTAGTAATAGTGTACTAGGTTCCCGATTTCTTTTTTTCTTCGAAAACAAGTGTAAAGCATTTAAAATTACTTAGTTACTTAGTAAGTCAGTTCAAGGGTAAAACTACAGCTAGGTTTATTGTATTTCAATCTTATCAGTACCTTGCAATTAGCCTAATTTACACTTTTGTCATTTATGTTTTATAATAGCAATGAAAATCAATACTGAAGCAAACTATACAAATCGTCGTGATAAAAGCTATATGATAAAATAAAATAAGACAGTTACTACTTGAAGAATTTGCCTGTAGAAGATTATTTTAGCATCTAAATGTATCTGGATTTTAGATTGTGAGTTAAGCTCTTCGTCGTCGGTAACGCGCTTCAAGCGTTCTTCTACATTTTAAAACGCTTTCTAACTGTTTACTTGTTTGAGTTTTTATTTTTGTTCTAATACCTCCTAGAGGGCAGTACTAATCAGGCATTATATTTCTAATTGAATTCCCCCCCCTCCCGGGCTTTATGAATATTCGTGCCATTTTACATAAGATACAAGACAGTGATAGATCTTCAACGTCCACTCAGCAAAAAAAGATAAAAAAATGAAGTTGTGAATTGGAAAGACAAGATGGATATATGTTTGATGAGTACAGTCTATAATAACTCTATGATTGATGTTGAAACACGGAAACGAACTGTAAAAAAACAATAATTGTAAAAGATTACAACAAAATGGGAGGAGTGGAATGCCCGGATCAGATTTTATCAAATTAATCCTGCTGTTAGAAATAAGCAGAGATATTATTACTTTTCCATTATGCTTTATTTCCTTATAATTTTACTTAATATTCATTTACATTCATCTACTACGAAAGTTATGTATGTACAGAGAAAACAACATTACATGCTGCAAAAAACAAAGGGCCGCTGGGGAGAAATTTTCATGGACAGGAGAGGATGGCGAAAGGGTTAAGAAAAAGAAACTTTTAAAATTAGAGGCAACTCCTTGCAACACCCTTAAGTCACGATCAATAAAGCTCAAAATGAACCAGGAGGAGAAGAATTTATTGATCCATTCTGCTGGTAATAAATTAACGCCATTTTAATGGTAATAAACTTATCCTAAGTTATGTTTGAGGAAAGACCGAAAATGAAAATTATTGTTATTAATTGCTTTAGAAGTTTACCACTGTTAATTATAAAACATTTTAACTAAGAATACCATACAAATGTACATGAAAATACCATTTTAAAAAGAATTTGTATATTGAAGATAAATCTTCCATTATGGAACTGACCTGATTAACTAGTTGATATATGAAATCAAATCAAGATTCATATTCAACCAGTTGCCTAAAATGCTTGAAAGCTACTGGCCTTTTTTTCAAGAAGGAGGAAATAATTCATCTCTTTCAAAACAACTATTTGATAAACTTATCAAGTACAGTTTTCTTCAAGAAGAAGGATATAATGAATATCTTTCAAGACAACTGTATGAAAAACTTATCAAGTGCAGTCTTCAAAATTTAAGTGAGAGTGTTACCTATCAACTACTAAAATATATTTGTTTTTGATTGCTCTCCATTTAATAGAAGCTGTTGAAATACACAGGTTATTCAGCTCCAGCTGTTTGCTTTATGATAGGAACAAGGTGACAGCATAATTATTACTGTATATTCTGGTGTATAACGTGCACTTTTAACACAAAAAATAAAATTAAAATTTACAGGCCAGTATTATATGTTGAATATAAAAATGATAGATTTAAAAATACAGAAAAGATGAACATACAAAAATTAGATTTCTATTGGTACTTAAATGTTGTTTATTTAAAAGAAGAGTATACCTTTTGAACTTCCTGAATTTTTTAAGGTAACAAGATACTTTTGCCAAACAATTATTATAATAATGTACTTCTGGAAACAATAATATACTTCTATAACAATAATAATAAATTTATTATATTTAATGCATTTCTTCTAAACAATAATAATACATTTATTATATTTTAATACATTTCTTCTAAACAATAATAATACATTTATTATAATATACTTCTAGAAACAATAATTATACTTCTAGAAACAATAATTATACTTTTATAAAACAATGATATACTTCTAGAAACTTATCAATATGTTGTCCAAATCTTCCAGAAGCCTTTGTGAAACGTTTGTGTTTCCTCGTAGAACTAAAATTATTGTATGCTTAAATCGACTACACCAACTCAAACTTGCTTTAAAGGTTTCACTTTCATTGCATTGTTTTTGGCCACTTAAAAGCAAATAATTGTTAAGTTTCTTGTTCCATTTAATCCATTCCGGTGATTTTCTAGGACCCATTTCGCAACACTTCCTTCTAAGGTAAGCCCTTTTACTACTCCTTTGCGTGAAGCCTATTTATTCTTTGACATATTAATTATTGTGATTCCATTTTTCTTCTACTCACATATGGAGCTCTTACACACACCTAACATACTTGCTGCAGTAGAATTTCTATTCTCTTTCATAAATCGAATGACTTTGCATTTGAAACCAGCAATGTGTTTGTTTCATTGGCAGGAGCCATGTTTATTACTAAAAGGAACACTAGATCAACTGCATTTTAATTACAGCAAACATGATTTACCAAAGCTTTCAATGCTCACTACAAAATCACAACTTTTAATGACTACAAAAAGAGAAACATCTAATTCCTAATTCTGCAAATTCATTCATGTCAGAAGTGTATCTTAATCCCAAATTTTGTTCCCCTTTCTCGAAACCCTAGAATAAACATTCTGATGCACACATGCATTCAATACAACCAACTTTCTTTGCAAAATTATTTACTCTCTCCAGCATTTCCCCTACACATATCTCCAGCACTCCCCCGTTCCCCTTATGGCTTATCAATTCAATATACCATTGTTAGAAAGCTAGGGAAAATCTTTCAGTGAATGACTTCAGAAGATAAGAGCATGACACACACATCTTTGAGGTTTCTCATAAAGAAATATGAGCTTTTGAGGCATCATAAAGAAAAGGATGTGTGTTATACGGTGAATATATCTAAAAATTAAAAAATGTAGTTTGAAATTATAGGTGAACATTATATACCAGTGGATGTTATATGCCAGAATATATAAAAATCAACTCAACTGTTGTTAAAAGCATTATAATAGTTTCCTTCCCATTAACTACGGGAAAAACCTCTATCTATTTATCCAGAAAATATCAGTATTTACGAAATACACATAAATAGAAATAATTATAGATTTCAAAATTGGAAATCTCATGGATTTATGACTCAAATGAAATCACTATTACCTTTAAACACAAAAAAGGTGATATCAAGTGAATCAATGAAAAAAAAAAAAAAAAAAGCATAAGCATATATAAGAACTATTATTTCTCAATTATAACTAAAACATTCAGCAAAAAAAAAAAAGTTACACCCAGAAGAGAGTATTGGATTGAAATGAAATTAACTGTCACCAATAACTATATATGATTAAAAAATGAGAATGGCATGATAAATATTTATTGCATAACATACAAAACATTATAAATCTCAATAAGACACAGGACTACCATTATTTAGGATATGATCTGACCTATGCCCGGGCATTAAGTGAGAAAGTTTCCTAACATAGTCCAGCATTAACTCATCCCATGCAGCTGGGTTTAGTGATAGTAATGGATCCTTGAGAAAGCAGCATATAGCATGGCAGTTTTCCATTCGGGCAGATCTAGCTATACACTTAGCCACCATCAAATGACCATGGTTGGCAAGGAAAGTCTTTGAGATGCCACCAGTACGACAAGAAACACTATCTTTCTAAAATAGAACACTGGAGCAGGCATTCAAAAATGGTCAAAAGAATTCATCAGTGTACCACTGGGCTGCTTGAATTCCCATGATAAGATCAGAGGTGGTCAGGCATTATGTAAAATTGCACCCTATATCATGAACATCCATTTGGATATAAGATGCTTGACAATAACGCATTCACCTTAGCTCTGACTGTAATGCCTTGACATATAGACTGGTTGATTATCTGTACCAAAATAAAAGTAAGACTCATCACTAAAAATTTTTCCCTACTATTCAACATGGCTTCATAATGCTTGCTCATAGTACCACAGCAGTCTGTAATGAGTTGCCATTACATAAAAGACAGATATCATAATGGTCTGCATGGATGTAATCAAGTATATGCAGTTATCTGCTAAAGCACTCACAAGCTGCATCAATGCAGTGATCACTGCTTACAGAATGTCTCCAACCAAAACAGATAGAGTGGTTCCTGTATGCCAGACAATCACTCAATCCTACATTATTATTATCTGTGAAGGTCTCCCACAGCCTGCATATCATGACTGTTTACTATCCTGAATCTACCAATGGCATGTAATAGTAACATCAGCATGACTGATATGGCATAGAATACACAAAATGTCCATCCACCTTCATGCAGTTCCTACAGTGCATACTCAAATGATCTCAAACATACCTAAGTGTTCAAACTACTTAAACTTGTCTCAAAGGCATAGCACATTTTAAACTTATAATTTCAACATTATATTCAATAGTACTACTCAAAACAAAAATTCTACACATTGGAAAGACCCTGTAAAGTGTAGCAGGTATGATAATAAGCCTTCTCCTTGCTGATGTCATTTGAGTAGATGAATGTTAAATTTGAATCATTTGCATACCTAACAGTGATAAACCTCTAAATTTGATGCATCCTTATAACAGTAAGTTTTTTTTATGATGAATATGTATTATTTCAATAATCAATTGAAGTAACTTACTTTAAGAGCCTTCTTTTCCAGTAAATAGTAAATTAGATAACATACAGCAACAGTTACTGTTACAATAAAAATATTCACAAAAATCATGAGAGCTGCTTGAACTATTTTCTCCACTGTATTTTTTTCCTTTTGATTATGTACTTGCATGTATAACAATTCCTGCCAAAAAAAAAAAGTAGGTTTACAAAATGGTGCATTTAAAAAAAAAACAAGCAACATAATAATAAAATATTAGTTAAAGAATAAATTAAAATCAGACATAGCATTCATATCAAAAATGCAAAAATTTCAGAAGAAAAACTGCATACAGCAGAATCATTTAAATACATTAATACAGCTGTTACTCTTAAAATCTTAAAAACCAGAGTATTTTTGCGAGAACACCAGGAGAAAATGGGAGGTTTTCTTCCTATGTGTGGACACCATTTTAAAGGAACTCCAAATTGACTTTAATTCACTTTATAATGCAAGCTTCAACTATTTGTAATTCAATTATAATTCAAGATATATTAACATTCAATTGGTTATCCTAAATTTTGTGTTCTTTGGCTAATTTCACTTTTTAATTTTCTTATACTTTTACACTGAGAAAATCCTGAGTAGTGAAAGAAAGCTTTCTTTTATCAAAGTACTTTTAAATATACTGAAAATAAAATTAATAATTAATATACATAGTATTTGTGTAGATAACCTACATTAACACAACTCAGATTAAATGAAATTTAATAAGAAAATTTAATGAGACAAAGATCAACAAAATGTAATAGAGAAAAAGTAAAATTCAGATGAAATAATTCTGAAAATCATTAGAGGTGTGGGAATGGAATCTGCCTAATTTAAGTTTCATTAATGCAATTTCATTTATTGCTGAGAAACATTTTCCTTAATAAAAGTTAAAAATTAAAAATCAAGATATATGGTGATCTACCGAGAGACCAGAAGATACGATTAAAAATTGGGAAGTTGCCAGATTTACATCATGTTAAATACCATTGAATTCATAAGCTAGATGTAGCTATATTTTTAAAGAATCAAAGCTTTATTCAACTTCAAAATGTATTTATTTATCAATAAATAAATGCTTTCAAGAAAAATCATGCAACATATCAGTTTAAAAATCGATTTAATTATCAGTTTGATAAGTGTAAACAGCAACCAAAATCTATTATTATTATATGATCAAAATAGCCCCAGAAAATGTGTATAACAGTGACACTATGCCGCCCAGATGGTACAGTGGTTAGGGGAGTCAACTGCGATACCAAAGGGCACAGGTTCCAATCCTGAAGAAGGCATGGTTTTAACTGTCTGCCTCTTCATAAGAAAGGTGGCCCACCTATTATCAGACTATTAGGCGCCTCCATAATAAAGTGACCACAACTTCTGGCCTTAGTAGTGGCCAAGCTAAAGTCAGCTGACGGCCTGTTACTGGGGGCAGGGAAGAAGATGTGTATCAGAACATACAAATTCCAATTTAAAGCAAAATTTGGCTTTAAATATAAACTAAGCCCCTTTTCTTTAAATGTAAAGCCTGTGACAGGACAGAAATCGTCTGAAGTTGCAGAACTTGCTCCCAAGCTAGAAGAAGCTAAGACGGTGATTCCTAAGCTCACAGCTGCAGTTTCTATGCTAAAGGATGCCACTACCCACATACCTAGTGTTGTTACACAAATTTCAGTCATGCCTCCACAGCCCCATCATAAGCAATATACCAGTTTCTTTGGAATGCACAGAACTCAACCACTAAACTGCAAGAGTTTCAAAATTTTTTGGATGAGCATGACATAAACAATTGCCTCATCAAAGAGACACATGCAAATCCAAGAAATAATCTAAAAATTTCAAATTATCTGTTTTATTGAAGTAACTGGTTCAGACACCGAAATGGCAATGTCATTATATATGTTAAGTGATTGCTTTGCTCTGGTCTCAACTCAATAGACAACTCTAAAGGTTATCCTACAATAAATGAAATGAATAGCTGTTTTAAACAAGATATAACAATCTTCAAACCAATTTCTCATCCATGTTCTAACATTTTGCTTGTAATTTTTCACATTGCATTTCTATAATTTTTTATTTTATGATGTAGAACTTCATGGAATACAAATTTTTGCATTTTCTACTGTCAGACAAAACGTCATATTTCTGAAGAAATGAAAAACTTTCTTTTCATTAGCTAGCAAACTCCACAGTCTTACTATAATTCATTTAAAGTGAGCAATGTACCCAATGCAAAAATAAGCATTAATAGGAAAAATGACCATCGAATTTAGATGGTGAAAAATCTGCATACACCTGCATACCTGGTTTGCAGCATAAATGCATTTTGGTTACGTCATGGGTTGCGATATAACTATACTTGTGTACAAAATTAAGAGAACTTGAACATTATGCTGAATTTCTGAAAAACTAATGGACAAATTTTAATGAAATTTGGTATGAATATACATTTATAACAGAGATGTACCATTCATAAGTCATTTTATATATGCATGATTATCAGTAAATATCATAGTGCTACAATGTCCAAAATCCACATTGTGATACAGAACTGGAAATGAGTCTAATATGGGGAATGGTCCCCTCTCATAGCAAGGTAGGTGGCGCAGCATGATGGCATAAAAGACAAGAGGCAGTTGAGTTGGCAGTCAATCCCATTCCTGCAGTAAAGCAGTTTTCAACTCTGGGATGGTTCTTGGAGGAAGAAGGCAAGATGAAACTGCCCTGTCAAGAGCATTCAAGACATGCCCTACAGGGTTAATGTCAGAAAATCTGGCTAGCCAAACTATGCAGCAAATATCCTCACTTTTCAGGTAACTGCTGAGCCCTATGAGGATGAGCATTGTCATCTACTAACAAGAACTCAGGAGTAATGGCTGCCCAAACCATTATTCACGATTGTAATGATCCTCTAGGAACTTATCAGAGATAAGGTACTCTCAAAATACAGGTACACTGATAATCAGTGTCCTGGATGAATCTCAACTTATCTGTAAAGAGCATGATGCTCCATTGAAGTTTGATCCAAGACTAAGGTTGTCTATACCATGCTAAACATGCTCTGTTGTATGCTGCAGTGAGTGGGATGCAAACAGCAGATCTTTTCACATGCAGGACTATCTTATGAAGCCTTCGGGCAACTGCACACCATGAAACTTCGATCCCCATGTAAACATACAGCTCATGTGACAACTGTGAAGCTGTAGCATGCTGAAAATGAGAAATAACAATCCTCATTTGTCTTTGTGGATCTTGGTCAATCTAGTCTAATAAAAGTCTAGGTCTTCTTGATACGGATCCAGAGTCCTGAAACTGTTTACACAAATTGCAAATGATGCTGTGCATTATACTGAGCTGTGTAACCACCCGCGCTTGTGATCAACTTGCCTCCAATCTACCGACAATGCTCCATCTAATTCTGTCATTTATACGTTAATGGCTACTCATTTTATCTGATACCTTACAAAATTTATTCAATGCCTGTTAGAAACAGGGTGAATGTCATGAAGGAGTACAACCACACAAATCAGTGAAAACCCCTCAAGTGCTTATATCCCCTCCACAAACACAGCTCCGCAAACATGCATATGTATGCCAGCATATTCAACTCTGAATATCTACACAATTCTTTGGTAGCACAATTAATACCTTAGTTCAATACTTTTCATAAAAATAGGCACAAATTGCAAATTCTATTAATTTTTACAGGTGTATTTTGGCAACACAAGGCAATGCCTTTGGAGGGATGCAAATAATCAAAGAACCTTTATTTTACTAGAATACTATAAAATATTGTATATTCAATACTTATACAAATTAAGAGAATTAAATTTTAAGACATACACAAGACACTAAAAGCAAATGCATTTTATAAGAAAGTTTTCAGCAAAAGATAAAAGTTTTCATAACAAAAATCTGATTAGAATTTACACTATTTCTTCTAGATATCATTGATCTTTCATTTTCAGTATCAGAATAAGAAAGAAAAAAAAAAAGACTTTTAAAATCACTTTTGATTTGTTAACAACAATAATATATCTATTTAAATTAGTAATTTTTAAAAAGTAATTACTTTGAAATTATTAGTAATGTGACCTAAATATATACTGTTACGAATTTTGTATTTAGATAGCTAATATTAGTAGAATTATAGTTAAACTTGTTTTATTTCCCAGTGCAATGCAGCACGTGATAAATTTTAAGAGAAAGCTAAGCTGAAAAATAAAAATACAGGAGCAAATGCATTTAGCATTGAATAAAGGTTTATCTCGTTAATTTATATTTAATTTGAATAAATGTAATTGACAACTATGTTAGCTGTAACTGTAGTTCTACACTTTTGCTTTCCAGAAATCTCGAGAAGCAAAGAAATTACCAGAGGTCTCTCACGACTGATTTAAAGCTATAAAAAGCCAGACAGTGAACATCTCATTTCAGTTGTTTTGTTAGCTGCTGTTGTTATTGCTTAGAGTTCAGCAAAAGATTTGATTAGCTTTCTCTTTGCATTGCATTGTATTTTAACGTTTTTAGTAGTTTAAATATAGCTACTGATTATATTGTGAAATTGTACGAATATCTCCGAGGAGCAATCCACCATTCTGTTATATTTCTTGTGATAAGAATAAATTTTATAACCTTTTATCAGACTTGTGCATTCAATCTATTATGAACCCATATGCATGCAACAATACCTTAACATTAAATAAATGGTGCTTCTCTGCTTTTGCCTCCATTTAATTTTCTATGACCAAACAGTGTAAATATTTCTAAATATAGTAGCCAATAATAATTTTTTTTTTCATCTTTTGTTAAAGTTATTTTTTGACTGAGATTAAAATATCTGTTTTCTTGCAGTGGCAATATTTTAAATGTTTAGAAATGAATTGTCTTCTACATGCTACTGAAGTATAACTGTGAAAATTCACATATTTTCATTTTTTATATCTATCCACATACGTTATATGAATATTTTATAAACAAATTAATTTGTTTAAAATTGCTATCAGTGTTATTATCACACTTGCTTTCTTTCTTAATATATATCATATTTATGTAGTAAAGTTGCTATAATGAAGTATTTACTAGCAAACAAAATCTGAGACTGTACCATACTGAAAAAAATCAGTGTATGTTGTGAGTTCACAGAAAGGTACCAAATAAATTTTTTTAATAAATCAGTACATTTACCTTAATTTCATTACAGAAAGCCCGTTTCCGTAGTCTTGCAGCATCTTCTGTTTCAATACCATAATCCCAAGCAGAAAATATTTTATTGCAGAACACATTTTTCATCTCTCCAGAAGTATCAACATAGTTTTTTTGATAGGCATTGGTAAGCCTGTAATATAAAAATAATAACTGCAAAATTCTGAAAAATAATCCCTTCTTTTACTCATATACATAATGTGCAACTGATTAACTTACATAATGTGCAAAATGATTAACTTACGAATAGCTTACAGCCAGCAGATTTATTAATGAATTTACACCAATGATAAATAAATATGCTAAAGGCATGCTGTAATGAAGACCAGGAAGAACACTAATTGTACTACTTGTGTAATGCCCAAAATAAAATGTTGAATTTGTCATCCAACCCTACAGAAAAATTTTTAAAAATATTATAAACATGACAAATACATATCCAAACACATATATTTTGAATGCATGCATGTACACATATACACATTAATATTAGAATATTATTGCCTACATTTTCAGAATACAGTACAAAGTCTTTAATCTGGACTCGTCGGGAAGTTCGGCAATTCCGGATTAGGGATTTTTCTGGATTATTGATCATCAATTTAAATCTGGCAAGATGGCTTGCAGAAATTATACAATTAAAAATATGAAACCGTAATTTATGAAATAAAAAGCAATTATGATCTAAAGGGTATGAAATTTTACATAAAAAAAAAGCTTAATATTTGTTTACTTTATTAAACATTTCTTTCAATGTACGCATATGTAAAGCATGCATTATGCGCATTCTTTATGCATATGCATAAAGTTTGTGTCTTTGAGGTCCGGATTATAAATCATTATAGATCATTCCGGTCCGGATTATAGATCATTCCGGACGTCCGGATTATGGACTTTGTACTGTATAATGAAGGTAAAATGAAAAAAGAAATACAATAAAAATTTTAAATTACAGATTCCCCCCCCTCTGAAAAACAGGGACATATGTTTGATGGTCATCGAAAACGATGTTGTTTTATTCAAAATTTACACCAAATTTAAGTTGCATTTAAATCTAATTTCAAACAACAAAGATGTTAATGCTCCATTTAACATGAGCCAATGATTATTTATTGCTGATAAAAACATATACAAACATATTCAATGAATTTTCATAATGATACAAAAGCATGCTGACTAAAGAGTAGCCTTTCCTCCCCAATTTAACATAAATTTGCACTTATATACATCAGTGCTAAAGCTATAGCATTAAACTTACATACTCTTCCCTCTTGCCGAATCAGTACTTCTTGCATCCAATTAATATAGTTGTTCATTACCAGTAGTATTCACTTTTTATTTATCTTTAAAATGGAATCAAAATTTACACCAAATGCACTGGTAATAAATTTAAAAGACAATTACTTTAGAAGAAAAGTTTATATAAAACAGAAAATTACAACAATAGTTTAGGATACAAATCAATCTATTTTGACAATGAAGGACAAAACTAGCACTGCTGAAAGCATGGAAGGTGCAGTAAAGTTGAAGGGCAGAATCATTACCAAAAAGAGGCTAGGCCTGATCTCAGAGATGGAAAAACTGTTGTTAACCGAAGATCTGACACAGAAGTAGATCTCACTGAGTTTACTAACTATCCAAGAGAAAGCTAGCATCATAGGCAGTAGAGTACATTTAAAACTAGTTCTATATTGTTTGAATGTTTCAAGAAGTGTACGAATCTACACAGCACTAAAATCGTGTGAAACAACAAGTGCAGATAACAGAGGTAAGTAAATTCCTAGAAGTATTTCTCTGGAAAGCAAAATTGTAAATCGGAATATTTGTCTCAGCAAACATGTAATGTTGATGATGCTTTGTTTTGGGAGAGGATGACAGCAAAGACATTTATTGCAAAAGAGGAAATAGCTATGCCTGAATTTCAAGTCACAAAATATAAAATCAATGACATAATGAGCAGTAACACTTCAAGGAACTTGAAACTTAAACCATTTACCAAAGAACAGTATTTCTCTTCCCAAGCATCCACTTTCAGTACCAATTCTCAAAGCGAAATCCAATAATGCAAAATACTGTATTTTCTTTAGTGTTATTTCAGTTTGTTTTTATATTCTTCTATGTATTTTTCATACTTTTATCATTTACTAGACGCGTGCACAACCAATCACCTAAAATGTTTCTCAAAAAAGAAAAAACATAAAATTATTTTTATGAATCCAGCTAGCTTAATTTCATGGATCTGTAATGTAGTGATCTGGTTTCAGTTAGTAATTAATAAAGATGAACTGCATTTAAATTGCTTAGTCTGTTAATAACAGACAGATTTAATTTGAAGGAAAACAAAATATCTTAAGATATTTTGTTTTGTATATATTTGCGAAATGGCAATAATACTGGCACATGGAAGGTAAAAATATTTTACAGTAGGTGGAGACAACATATTCATTTCAAATCACTGTGTTAGTTGATTAAATTTGAAAGACAAATATCTCACAGTTTGCTGAATGTCAAAATGTTTCTTTTAAATTACTCAATTTTCTAATTACATTTTAAACATAAATATGTTATGCTTTCCCCAATGGCAACACACTGCTTTTAAATCACTGAATTTGTTAATTAAAATTTCATTAAATTGGCAAAATTTAAAATCTGGGCTTCAAGGCGCACATGTTCAAGTGCAGGATTGAACAAATTAAAAATTTAGTAGCTCTAAATTCTGTCTTTTTCCTACAATACAAGGAATAAATACCTGTACCTACATAGAGACAGATTTTTCATTATTTAATAGGAGATATCTCAATACATCTTCTCTTCATAAGCTCCACAAACTGGCCAAGGCTGTCTCTTCAAGTTTCTTTCCCTGATCCCATTCAGTGCAATAACCCTCTATGGGTTAATTCCAATTAAACTTAAATCCTCCTCGACATCATCTATCCACCTTTACATAAAGTTTCATTTATAAAATAATAATATAAAAAATATGTAAAAGATAAACTATTAATATGTGGATAAAAAAAAAGATGTAAAAGATAAACTATAATTTAAATATATTAAGCCTCTTAATACTTAATTTCGTATTTCTCTTATGTATTCCAAAAATAGCAATCTTTTCCTACATAGTAGCATTTTGAGATTAATCCATGTCATATGATTCTTGCATAACGCTGGTGACATAAATGGATTTTAAAACTAAAAAAACAGCCAATAATAATTTTACAGCAGTATTAATTATCTAATCAAATGCATTGAGAACCAAAACTAACTCATTCCAAATTGTGTACAAGATTTCGTCTTGTACACAACTGCATTTGCTTTCTACACTTTGGCCTAGCTTGTTGAACTGCTGCTTGTTGCTCTCTTCTTACTGCAAAGCTATCAAATATGTAAATGTTTCAAAATAGGCACGAGTAGTATGCCAAGTTGATTATCTCTTTCAAAATAAAGATGAATACTTAATTTGCCTTGGCTGCTAAGTTTTCTATTTCTTAAGGATCAACAATTATGAAATGTAATATTACTACACCTATGTCTCAGTGTTCCTACATCATTTCTTCTAAATTTGTTTTCATTATATATACTATATGTTAGTTAATTACTCACATTACATATATAAGCACAATGCGCAAAATTTTGACCTAAATTGGTCTTTTTTCGTTTGTTCTTACAATCTTACTTATAATTACATATATATGTTACCGGCAAAGTTTGAAATATAATGCCTAAAATTAGCCGGCAATGTATGAAACGATTCATATTTCATACATTTCCTACGCATTCTATAGAATGCCAAATCACAAACAAGTAAAGTTTGAAATACATTTCTGATTCATTTCGGAGAACTGAAACTACTTACCAGAAGTTAATAAATGATGTAAAAAAGCCAAAATGAATAATAAAAAGGAACCATGGGACTACGAGCTGCTGAATCGCTAGGATATGGTGTTTGTGGAAAACAAAAGTATATTCATTCATTCTGTTAAAGAAAGCATCAGTACTATACAGTATTATGTCACCGGATGGTGGGTTATTTCTCATATTTCATGAAAATTCATTTGAGTACTGGACATGGACGACGTGCTTCAACCACATACTATACATTTACAAACACCTATGTCTTAACCCGGGATTCGAACCAGGCACTTCGGTACCAAAGTAGGCTCCCATTAGTTTTTCAAAATAACATTTGAACTTTTGAGGAATGAATGTCTTTTAAATACTAGCCTTGTCATAACCCTTTTTTTCATACTTTGCCTAAAGAGCATTTGTCATTCTATAGAATGCCTAGATATTATATACAATGCCTAGGGAAAGTATGTAATAATTCTCATATTTCATACTTTGCCTAAAACGGCCATCATTCTATAGAATGCTGGTGTCTCATACTTTGCCCGAAACACATACACACACACACACATATATATATATATATAAGTACTCATTACTTAGATAACAGAAGAGGGGGAGTTGCTGTTTGACAATACACAATTTTAAGGGCAGGGAAGAAAAGTATCCAGACTAGTGTAAATTACAATATAAAAGATTATTTTTTAAAAATGAGCATTCCTACTCAGAATTACCATGTGATTTACTGATCAAATTATATTATAGGATCCATTAAACTATTAGAATCTAGTTGCTTATATTCTTAAATAATAAACTATGTATCTCTCATAAAAACACCTCAAAAGCTATTCTGGATGATAAAAGATAACTCACTTGGTTTGATTAATCCTTTTCCCAGCAATTAAAAAAAAAAAAAAAAAAAACTATGTTTACCAACCTGGAACCTAATAAGAACACTAACCTACTAAATCAATGAGGAATCTACTAAATCAAGCTAGCAAAAGCCTAAAATGTGAGTGAGTGCAGTAATAGCTTAGAGAGAGTGTAGCCAAAAGGCAAGCATGCGCAAGTCAGAATCTCTAGCTTTCTAACTAAGTGAAACTTCGATTTAAGTACTGCTCTTCCTTCATTTGCATTAATCATGACTCTAAAAACCCACTCTGGCAGGAAATTTGTAAGCTGAAATTAGAAGGGACATTAAAGTAACTTTAACTAAAAATAACTGTTAAAAACTTAGGATAAATCTTACAAAGTTTTTAATATTCTCATGGGGAAACTGAAATTCTTGCATAAAACTAATCAATGGCAGAGTAGATAAACCTATTATATGTGGAAAACTTTATTTACCACACAATGCCTAATAAAAGATCGGTTACATGGAATTTTTAATACTTTTGTCATGCATTATAAAAATGAGTCAGTTACTCTTAAAGCATTCTCAAAGAGATAACCCTTCACCAAAGCAATAAGCTTTATATATAAGCTTAATTAAGTAAGCTAATAAAATAAAAACACAAATTTTTAAATTTCAAAGCAATAATTTTTTATTATTTTTTTTATTATTATTATTATTTATTCATAATTTTTGTAGTTTTATTTTAAAACTGAAACAGAGAACAGATTTCTAAAATATTTCTTCTGTTTTCTTCCAATTAAAAATACACTCAAACCCTAATGCATTTAAAGGTAATACAAATGGTAATAATAGGGTATTTTAGGAGTAGAAGAAAATAGAGCATTTAAAAAAAAAAAAAAAAAAAATTTAAAAACTGGATAATGAAACACCCCAAAAAAATTAGTTAGCACTGTCAAATCTGTCAAGAGAAGTGATGATTAATTTTCTGATAAATTCATTGGCCACTATCTGCAACATTTGTACAGATATCGAAAGACTGCAACCTCTATGAACAGTGAAGCATTTAAGGAGTGCTTTTCAACACCCTCATGCTTGCCTTTTTCAATATCTTCCTCGCATCCAAATTTTTTTCCTATGAGCATAAGTAATTGAATTTTAATTTTTCAGGCATATAATAGCAACCATAAATTTAGATAAACCATATTCTCAGCGGATTCCAACTTGGCTACAGCCATTTGGTAATTTTTTAATAATTCTCACCTTATTTTCAATGCAAAAAGCTTAATATTTATAACTTATTATATAGATGACTTTTCAACAGACAAAATTTTCATCAATACAGTGTGAAGACAGATCAAGTAATATGTGAAGTATTGCCCATGTAGAAAAGCTGAAAATTTCATCACTCACTTGTCCTATCTAATATTTAACGAATATGTATTCATTTCAAGTTATAGCTGTAAGCCAAAAATACAGCCATAACTTGAACCAAGGGGCCAGCCCTTATAAAAAATAATCCAAATCTTGAAAAATACCTAAAAATGCAAAATCCTCATTCCAAACATGAAATTTAAAAGATGTTTTAAAGAACAGAAAAAAAATATAGAGATAAGGATATAAAATTTCTGTTAACAATGAATCATCTCTATAGTGCCACACTTATAAGAATCTAATCATTTTTTCTTGACTAGCAAATATTTTAAAATTCCTGTTACAGCATCAAGCTTGAACAGAGCTCTGTATGATAGCTTAGCCAAAGTATTTGAATGGAATCATGGAACCCACTCAAATTCCTTGGCTCAATGGCCACAGCATCATACATTTTGATCTCTTTGATATGCTTATTGTATGCCTTGATTTTTAAAGAATCAGGTGCTATATCTGCATCTCATAATATTTGTTTAGAACGCACAGAAATGTGGGCATGAAGAATAGTAACGTAAAAATGCTTGTTGACATCCTCAGAGTCTAAATATGGATAACTCTTCAAGGGTTAGTAATTTCTTATGTAAAACTTGTAAAAATTATATAAAATATCAATTAAAGAAAAGGGAAACAAACTTTTATGAAGCGTATCTATAAAATGTGTTACATCCAATTTTCAGATATTTGGAGGTTTATTAGCTGTACAAAATAGCTGATAGAATCAAGAAGTTTGTCATAACCAGAAGGTTCATCATACACTATGTTTTTCTAGCAGAGTTTCTCTGTATATCCGTGTATATGCAAAAGAGACACACAAAGCAATTATCATTATTTCTATTGCATATTTAATTAATTCATCTTAATTTGTGAGGCAAGATAACATCATGAAAAAGACATGCAGAATATCAGTTAAAGTATAATGCAATATAAAATTTAAAATTACTTACAGAACCAGTGAGCAAATCTTCTGGAGAAAAAGGTACACTAATATTATGTATACCCGCTTCTGAAGACTCGTAGATGAACTGAGGAATAAGCACAAACAACAAAAGTAAGAAAAAATTGCACAGATTAATATACAAAAGCCAGCGCACGAAAATAAAATACGATGCAACACCAGATCCAAACTGTCCTTGAATGTTTTTGATTGGAGAATGCCAGACAGAAAACAAATACGATAAATTTTTCACTTCATACACAAATTTGTGCCATGCCTGGGAAAAAAAAGAATAATAATTATTATTAAGTTCACAGCTAATAACAAATAAGAAACATAATTTTCTTATCTACAGTTAAAAAAAGGGGGTTATTTCTCAAAATAATAAGCTATTGAGCTCTAAAAAAATCATTTAAGATTTTCATTCACTATTCAATCAATAAAGTAATATACTAACCAATACTAACCAATACCAACATACTAACAGATTTAACTCACTAGCAAAGTGAGAAAAGAGCATAATTCTCCAATATATATTTCTGTTTATAACAGCTTTTAATTTAGCTATTTCTTAATTTTTCAATGCCATTTTAGCACTGATTTATGTTGTAGAATTCCAGGTACAGGACTACTTCTGTGTCTGTGGGTAAATCATTTTAGGACATATTGCAGATAAAAACAAACTTGATATACAACAGGATATTCATAGAAAAATTTGGTGAAACTTGAATCTATGAATCTGGCATAGTAAGACAATATCAATATTAATTAGAAATAAAAACTCTTGCTTGCATATATTAAATAAGAAAGTTTAAAAGTTTAAGGTGATGAATAAATGCCGAGTCAAAAATTATGTCATGCAGGTTCTGTTATAAAGCATAATGGACTATTTCAAAAGATGGGAAAATTTAAAATCTCTTTTTGCAACAAAAAAATTCAAAGAACATTGTGTCTGAAAATTTTACAATGAAACATACCTATACATAACATGTACAATAAGGAAATTTCCCTTAAGGATATATATATATATATATATATGATGTACCAGCTTTTGTCCAGAATAAATAAATTGGTGAAGAATATCATAGATGTAGTTGTAGCTCAAAAGTATCAAACGATAAGTTTAAAAAAACAGGATCCATTTATTATTATTCAGGAGAAATAGCAGTTACAAAGAACTACTAGTAACTTTTGTATGAAGTTTACTGCATCATTACATTAAAAAAAAAAAAAAAGACCCTGATATTTCTTTGCGAGTCCTTTTATAGCCTCTGAAAAGGCGGAGCTTCCAAGAAATGACGTCAGCCATTCCAGTTCACTTTAAATATCTCCAGAACATTCTATAACTGTACGTGTAGAAAAGGCGGGAAAAACAACTTGACTATGGGGCTGTGGATTTAATTCCATGTACTTTCAAATAAGAGACCATTGCCATTAAAAATGAAAAGAACATACAGTTAGGTTAGAATTTTAAGTGCATTTTTGACTATGGAATTTTATTATATATATTAATTTGCTATGGGATTCAGTGGCATATAGCATTATGTGGTGATAGCACAATATCTATAATGAGAAATAGTAGAAGAGTTTGGTTGGAGTATGCACTTCACCAAGCTGAGAACATCTGATAAACATGCACGGCTAAAGAGAAAACAATGAAATGAAGGAAAACCAGAACCATAAAAACAACAAGAAATAATTCACAAAAAAACTTTTCCTACATTATTGCTGCAAACACTGGATGTGGATAAATGAAAGATGTCTTTAATGTTATGAACAAATTCAAAACATTTGAACGATAAGCATGGGGATATTGAAACCAGAATTTCTCAGTTGAAGAACCCTAAGGAATCTGAATGAACCAATAAGAACAAGTACATCTGAAAAAACAAATGCAAGAAAGTACAGGCAAGGGCTGCCACTGAAAGAAGAGAGAGAAGATGAAGATCTGCCATACTGGCAAATAATCGCAACCACACATGATTTCTTCATTGAAACCTTGCCTATGTGTGGCTTTGTATGCAAGCATAGCCCGGAACTGTAATTCTGTGCATTCCCCCACTCCATGTTTCAGACAACACTGTCGCACAAAAAACTCCAGTACTTACACATTGAACTGTTACAGCGTGTGTGTATGTATTTTGGGCTTTTATGAGACTTTTCTAATCAGAAAGGTTTGTTATGTGCTTCAGTAAGCCTCACTGATTTTAATAATTCACACTAAATTTTTATCCCTAACATTCAAAATTATGGATCACTTTTTGAAATCTGAAACTTTTAAACTGAAAGAAAGCAATGACTATACAGTCAAAAGTCGTTAATTTGGACACCCATAATCCGGAATAATCTATAATCCGGACCTCAAAGCTACAAACTTTCTGCGCATGCGTCGCATTGACGCATGCGCATAAGACCTTTACGGCTGCGAATTTGCGTGTGCAAAATACGTTTATGAATGCGCGTTTAATGTATAACGGACGGTATAAGCTAAGCGCTAATTATCTATTTCAGTTAATTTTGCAGATTGCGTTGTTCCTTAATCTTCGAATTGGATCCGGCTTATTATTTTTTGCCGACTGTTAGAGCAATTTTATAAAAGTAAGCTTGAACTTTCGATTATGTCAAATAGAATTTCCAATTTATTTACTAATATGTAAACGGATCTACAAAGCGAAAGTATGTTTCAGAGTCCATTAAACAAAAAGTGGAATTGCTGCAAAAAATGGATAAAGGCATACCCTTTGTTTATCTAAACTTTAACGTTTGTTTATCTAAGCTTTGTTTATCTTTAACGCTTGGAAGTTGATTTGTCAGCACTATCCTTATCTTCAGGGCAGATGTTTTTTATTTTATTTGGCTTATAATTGCTTACTAAATGTGTAGTATTTTATTTCGATATACTCTGTCTTTGATATGATTTAAATCAAATGCCTCATCATTATAATTCGAAGAAAGTGACACAGAGGTTATTGAAAACGAAAACATTTCGAGGTATTCTCAACACAGCAATTATAGGACTTGAACAGCAGAACTTTGTAACTGAACAAGAAATTATGTATGTTTATAGAATTAAAGAGAATGTATTATCACATAAAAAACAAGCAAACAAACAACTTACATTGAAAGAAATGTTTAATAAAGTAAACAAATAATATTAAGCTTTTTTTTTTTTTTTTTTTTTTTTGTAAATTTTGATACACTTTATAGGTCATAATGTTCTTTTTATTTCGTAAATTATGGTTTCATATTTTTAATTTTATAATTCTCTTCATCAGATTTACCAGATTTAAACTGATGATCTATTATCCGGAAAAATCGATAATCCGGAATCGCCAAAGTCCCAACGAGTCCGGATGAAGGACTTTTGACTGTAGTAACAATCAACAAAGAGAAAATAATGAAATTAACAAGAGTAAACCTACTACAATTCCAAAAGAAGATGCTTAGAAAAAAGGAAAGAAAACTCAATAATACAACAAAAAAATATCTTAAATTTGGATTCTCATGGACTGGAGATGAAAAAGTACTTTGCGTCATTTACTTAAAAAATAACAAATGAAATCATGAAACCATCCAATTTAAAATAAACTACTTGAGACAAACTATAATCAGTACAAAGATAAACCAAACTTTTTTTTAAAAAAACAAACTAAGGATTTAGCACTCTTGGAATTATTTCAAACTACATATAACTGAAAGCTAGTCTTAAAAATCATTCTACTACTTCTGGCAATGTTGACAGGGATTAAAGACCTGATATTTAAAGAGTGTATTTAAAATTTTTACTTTCATTTTCACATTCTATTGATTTGTTTCATTTCTTTTAATATACAAATACTTTACAAATATCTAATATTTTATTGCACATTATACTTTAAAAAATATAAATGTGTACATACTAAAATACTCCCTTTTCATAAGCTTTTATATGTTTATTAGCAAGTCAAAAATTCTTAACAATCCCCAGTTATTAAAAGTTATATTACAAACAAAGAAGTTACAAAATATTTCAGTACAAATGCTATTGTCTTGTCAATAACATCAAATCTTTCATTATATTGCTTTTCTGCACTTTTAAGCAAAATTTAAAATAAATCATGAGGATAAATACTATTTCCAAGAGTCTGCAGACACTAACATATACATACACTGCAAAAAAAAAAAAAAAAAAAAAAAAAAAAAATTGAAAGTTCTATATTTTTTGTTTTACTGGACTGACTGACAAAATTTCATTTGTGTTTTTCGTGTCTCAAAAATGTGATTTAGGATACATATTACATTTATATAAAGTATTGCTTCAACTTATTGATTTCTTCTTTCACAGTTTGAAATTTGGGTTCAATCCAAATAAAATTTGCAGTTATTTCCTGATTTATTTTTTAAATTTGTACTTTTTAGTAATTTTTATAAATTTTTTGAAAAGATTTTTCAATTGTAACCTAAAAGATTTTTATCATCATCTTAAAGTAGATGTATTTCTAGGTATGCCAGCAAAATATTAAAAAGATTTTTATGCAAAATTTCCTAGGAAATATGTCATTTATATATTGGGGCATTTTTTTAATCTGACATATTTGTTATATGTGATAATAAATGTGAAATGTGGTTTACTCACTTTGTTGAAATTATTTGAAAGAATGAATGATAAACCTTTTTTCTGCTTGTGCACAATGAAAAAAGGGAAAAGAAAATAGGTTACTATAAATTAAGAATTTTGCCAGGTAAATTATACTTGGCACAAACTGAAAAAATTGCACCAAGATAAATTTTTTAATTTTTTGGTAAGTTCCTCACCAAATTTTACAAAAGTTAATATTTAAGCATAATTTGAGTCGTAGAATCGAAATATGGAAAAAAAAATCGCATGTCACGTCAGAAAGAAATCTGTTATTGCGTCAAAATACCTATGATAAATAACCGTGCTATATATAAATCTAATATCTATCCTAAGTCGCACTTTCAAGACATGAAAAACTCAAGTTAAATTTCATTGATTGGCCCAGTATAAGAGGAAACATAGAACTGTCCCCCCCCTTTTTTGTGCACAGTGTACATAAATTTCCTACACCGTTCATACGATGTTATACCTCAATATCATATTATATTAATATTATCTTAATACAAGAAAGAAAATTAAAATGCAAATGACTTAAACATATCATCACGTCAAGTTAAAAACCATGCCTCTGGCAATAAGCGAGATCATAATAAAGCACTAAATAATTTTCTTTCAAATTCATTTAAACCAACACATAAGGATGAGATTGCAAAGTAATCTCATACTACAACAATATATGAATTACCATGGAAAGTCTTAGCTTGAATCTGGTAAGTCTGTCTAAAATTTGACTAGCTTCTTTTTCTCTGTATTCAGCATCTAGTTTTTCCTTTACTTGTCTCTTAATGGTTAAACTTTGATGCATTTCTCGTAATGTATTTACTTTTTCTCTTTCAGTCTGATCAGGAATTAAATTCAGTATCTGAAAAAAAGCCATAAGGGTACATGTAATACAAGAAATTAATACAACACAATACCTAAAATTTCAAAAAATGTATGAAAACATGCATATATGCAAAAAAGTCATAAAAAATCAATAATGAAATACACTACCCTTCAAAGTTAAGGAACAGCATGTTTTTGTGCCTAATTTGAGAACGAAGCAACATAAAAACAAGAAAATTACAGGACATGTTCAAGAAACAGTTCTTTAATGAATGCAGCATAAAATATTTCTCAAGTTCAACACAAACATGAATTACAACAAAAAATTGCATTCTTGGCAGAGAAAACCAGCCTTGGAGAAACAATATATCAGTGTTTGAAAAAAAAAAAAAAATGGGGTGGTAATATTACAAAAATGGGTTCTAATAAGGAATGCTTCCAACCCTAACTGCAATACATTGGCGCCAGCGATGTTCCATGCTGTAAATTAACACGTTGACTGCCCAACACGAGATAACTCAAATCAGCGCTCTTCTTCAGGACACCCAATATGAGTTATCTCATAATTTCTTGACTTGCCCCTTTTGCACCATTACGAGTTACATGCTTGCTTAGCGCTTGTTTTAACTGTACCAAAGCGACAAGTCAAAGCATGTCTGTATAAATCAACTTGTAGTGGGCTTCTGCGAAGAGTTTTGTCTAGCAAAAGCTGACTATGAGATAATTCATAGGACCCTTTTTTCTACCAAAAAAAAAAAAAAAAATCCTGTAAACTTTTTAATGATTTTTACGAATTATAATTAATATTTTTAATGATATAATACGATTAAATCCATTTGGCTTCTCAGACCTGAATCCGAAAAGCGCCGTGGCAGTCAACGTGTTAAGTTGTCAGTCAGTGAAATGGGAAGCAACAACCAGACACGCAGTAATCCTTGTTCAAGCTCATCTAAAGCCTTGGAGAAAGACTCAAAGCAACAACCTGTCTTCTAATGTAGTCCCAAAGATGCTCTATTGGATTCAGGTCTGGGGATTGAGCTGGCCATTCCATTCGTTCCATACCGTGACCTTCAAAATATTCTTCAGCAACCCAAGCTCAGTGAGGTTGTGCATTACCATCCATCAAAAGAAATCCAGACCAATAGCAGTGGCATGCAGGTGGACATATTGATCATGGATCTTGTCTCAATATCTCATGCCAGTCAAGTTTCTCCATGGAATATGTGCAGGTCAGTGTGACCACCGAGAGAGATCCCAACTCAAACCATTACTCCACTGCCTCTGTATCATCTTTCCACAGTGTGGGATTGGTTGCATTTTGGTGCGCTATTTCCTCCAGATCAGCCGACGACTTGAATAACTCTCCAATGTGAACCTGGACTTACCTGTGGAGAGAAAAAATACCCATTGTTGACTGGTCCAGAAGACGTGTTCTCTTGCACAATATAAACGAGCACCTCTGTGTCCTCGGGCAAGGAGACACAAACAGCAGGTCATATAGCATACAGAGCTGTACTGTGGAGGTGTCTGCACACTGTAATAGCTGACAGTCTTGTTCCTGTTGCCACTAAATGATCTGCTATAAGCTGAGGCACAGTTATGTTATGCCTCCTTTGGGCTGGAAAGAGCTAAATAACGGTCTCCTGCAGGTGTTTTAACTATAGGTTTGCTCAGAACAGATCTTCCAAACACAAAATCCTCGGATTCAAACTGATTCCACAGTCGGCGGACCACATTATGAGAGACATTGAGAGGTCTAGCAGCATCAGTTTCTGACATCCCCATTTCCATCTATCCCATCACCCACAACCCCAATGAATTGAGCAAAAGACTTCTCCTGGACATTGATAGACTCGCCTGGATATTATCCACGAAACTGTAATAACAAATGAAGATCAAAACTCGTGAACAAAAATTTCAGAAGCTTAAAAAATACAATTTCAAAAGAGGTAATTCCAAAATCTGGAAGCATTATCTTATATATGCAATCCCCAACACAGGATAACCAACAAAAAGCTATCTATTGGCATACTCTCCTACCACAGTGAATAATAGCTCCTTTAAGTATGACACATTTCCAATAATCACACATCAAAGAGAGACACAATGCACTAATATGCAACACAAATTATTTGAAAACTGATTTAAGTATAGATGTAACGCAGAATTTTTTTAGTTCAATATTGTAATTTTTTCCTTTTCAAAACTTGTGAATTAATATTAAGAAAAGTTACAAAAAAGTGTATTTAGACAAATTGAAATCAAGGTCATAAATACACCATAATTTACACATAATGAAAAGCACTGAACATATTGAAACATAATGAAAAAAATCATATCGCAGAATTAATTATACTGTTGATTCTCTTCCTATACGAGAAAGGTGTGTCGCAAATTTTGCAACTAATCATCTAATTCAGATATACCCAGAGAAGGCTGTAACTGTCTTTAAAGCATGTACCAGATAAGTCCTATTAATGACAAACCTAGTGACCTCTATGGCCATGAAAGAGTATTAAATATTTAAAGACACAGCTATTAAAAATCATGCAGTATGTAATTAAGCACTATTTCATTGGCAAATGGACCAATGAAATAGCGCTTCATGAATCAGGCTTTGGGAGAAACCATACGACAGGCTGCAGAATGTTGTCAGTTTACATGAGGGCCACCATATAACTCTTCAGCATAGTTATAGATGACTAGTTCTCCACTACAGACTGGTATGTAAGACGTGATGACTGTGTCATTCAACAACAAATGAGGGATTGAAACAATAGTTGCCCCACCTCCACATAAGCAATCATCAGAAATAAGACAGATACGGATTTGCTGCTAAAACAACAATCCTCCAATCACACACTAGTCGGGGTGATCAATCCTAACAGCTCCGCACATATGTATAATTCGGTGGTAGCCTCTTTAATAAACATTGAAACCTCATGCCAGTTATCTCAACAGTATCCTTTGACAGAATAAGAAATATAAAGGATATAACAAATACTTTTAACCCTCTCTGATGGGTGTCACATATGCATCAGCTGCCAATGTTACCTCACAGCCGGGTGTGTCATATATGAATTCATTTAAATTTACTCTTAGGGTGCAAGTACCTCACATGAATTTTTAGACAGAACATTTAATTAGTATTTTTTATTACCAATATATCTGTTATGGAGGAATTTATTGAGTGGATAATCCATTGCAGTATTTTTTTATTTTTGGTATTTTGGCTTGAAATCAAAATGGAAATTGTGGAGAGAGTAATGCAAATAAAACAAAGCTGATTATTAACTGCATCAGCTGATATAAACACATAGGGATATTCTCGATTTTTCTGAATAATTTTGTTTTGATTTCTGAAGATATGGAAATATATGTCCTATTGTTTTAGAAATTTTATTCATTCCTCTTAATTCTCCACTGCCCCCTGCCAAATGGCTGGACACCTGGCACTGCATATACTTACACTTTACCAAACACACATTTACCTCTTTTACTCAATTAAAAAAATAATCCACATTTACCTCTTTTACTCAAGTAAAAAAATAATCTAGCCACAGCAGCCACTGAGAATGTTGTCCACTGAGAATGTTGTCACTGGGGGTGATCAAATCCCATGAGAAGTGGAAAATTTCATCTCAGTTTTGATACAGAATACCCCAGGGAAGGCCTGAGGTCCTCTACCACACCAGTATTTTAAGAACTCTCTTGTAGCAGAGATACTATATACTTACAAACACCCAAGCCTTCTCAGGGATTCAAAACTGGATCCAGAGATCTGGCAGTTAGCATTGAAGTCTGGCTAACCTTAAGGCAATACTATGCACATTGTTTAGCAGAACACTTTTATACTTCATATGATAAGGAAAATATAAAGTTATAAAATTAATTTTGACAAATACATGAGTGCTCTTTTCATAATGTACAAAAAATTGGAACAGTTGCAGTGTAAATTTAATTTCTGAAAATTTGTTTCCTAAGTTAGGCTTAGCAGTGCAAACTGCACATCCACATAATTTGCATACACATGAAATGAATAAAAAATAAACACAGTAAATCAGCACTGCATAACAAATGCATCTTGAATCCTACATTATTGCAGAGTAAGGCAATATTTACTTCATATATCTTTTCTACATCAAGATTTGCTCGTCTTGCACCAAGAGTAGCATTCTTCAGTTGTAGAGTTCGATAAGTAGAATCCCTTCTACGAAGCCCACTACTCCCATCTCTTTCAACAGAGTCCTCTTTAAACAACTGATCTAAAAAAAAATGCAGGTAAAATAAATTCAAAGCATAAAACAAATAGAAGTAAATCAGAATATAGCAAAAGAATTAAAAATAAAAATCTAAATTTGCTCATCTCGTGATTTAATAATATAATTAAATGATATGTTAACTGAATGACAACGCATTTGTAACGTTTTGCTAAATATATATTGCAGATTTATTAGTTACCCAAAATTAGATTTTTACAAAGCATTTCACTTTATTTCTCTACAAATCTAATAGCAATTACATTAGCTCTTTGCTTTAAATAAAATACATAATTTTATTTTATGCAAATTATCAGCATCTTACATTGCAGATAATTTTTAAAAGTAGCAATTTTAACCAGAAAAATAGTTTCATATCAGATACACCTTGCATATCATATCTAATCTAATCAGGTACATCTTGTCTTGTACATCTTATCTGGTGGTCTTATCAGGTACATCTTAAGATGTAAAATCTTAGCCAAACACACAACAGCATAACAAACAAAATAAAACAAAACAAAATTACAATCTGAAAACTTCAGATAACAGTCTACCACTTTGAAGAATTACTCATTATTAAAAAAAAAAAAAAAAAAAAAAAAATTAAAACATCAACATGAGAAAAATTTTTAAATACAAAAATTACAAGAACAAAAAAAAAAACTTCAGTGTGATCTTAGCATGGAGATTTCAATCTCATCTTTCAAGTGTTAATACTTGCAACAATTTTAAACTAAGCAGTTATGACAGACCTACTGATTTAAGAATTAGTCTCTAAGAAATTAAAGAACAGAGAATAAAAGCTAATATTTAAAATATGCTGTAAAATGACACAGTAAGAAAAAATTTGCTATGATATTTTTGGGTGCGTAAAGGTTCATAATAGATTGGATGTACACAGAACCAATGATAGGTTGATAAAATTTATTTTATCAAAAGAAACACTTAAGAGTTCTGAAATTTTCTGCAAAAATAGTCACACAACTCTTCATAGTATCACAGAGTACAATCTGTAGTTATACCTCAAATTACTAATAATGTTAAACAGAATGCAATGCAAAGCATATCTAAAGAACAAAGCTAGCCTGGATATCTCTGAACTCATGCTGAAATAACAACTACAACAGAGGGACTGATGCTCTCACTGGTCTTATATAGTTCCCCTCCCCATTGAGATATTTCTAATACTTTCTGCTTATTTAAATTATTGAAATTTTAGCACTTGTTCAGTAGTACAAGAATAATGATGCAGTTATAGTTATCTAGTAAAAAAATTATCATTATTTAAAACAAATTATTACTATGGACAGACAGAAAGAAAAAAAAAAAAAAAAAAAAGGTACAGTCAAAAGTCGTTAATTCGGACACCCATAATCCGGAATGATCTATAATTCGGACCTCAAAGCTTCAAACTTTCTGCGCATGCGTCGCGTTCACGCATGCGCACAGGTGTTTACGAGAGCGCGTAAGACCCTTACGGCTGCGAATATGTTTGTGCGCATGCGCGTTTAATGTGTAACGGAGTTATACGCTAAGCTAAAGTTATCTAATTCAGTTAATGTTGCAGATTGCGTTGTTCCTTAATCTTCGAATTGGATCCGGCTTATTATTTTTTGCAGACTGTTAGAGCAATTTTATAAAAGTAAGCTTGAACTTTCGATTATGTCAAATAGAATTTCCGATATATATTTACTACAAAGCGAAAGTATGTTTTGAAATCCGAAATCTGTTTATCAATTTTATGCTGCTCTGCGGTAGAGGGGGGGGGCAGAAACGTCATTATTAGATTATGATAGATTAGAAAGATTATGTCAAATAGAATTTCCGATATATATTTACTAGTATGTAGCTACAAAGTATTTACTAATATGTATCTACAAAGTACTTTTGTATCTACAAAGCGAAAGTATGTTTTGAAATCCGAAATCTGTTTATCAATTTCACGCGGGGGATTGGAAGTTAATCTGTCAGCACTATCCTTATCTTCAGGGCAGATGTTTTTATTTTATTTGGTTTATAATTCCATACTAAGTGTAGTATTTCATCTCGATGTACTCCGTCTTTGATATGATTTAAATCAAGTTCCTCGTCATTATAATTCGCTTCCGATAGTGAAGAAAGTGACCCAGAGGTTATTGAAAACGAAAACATTTCGATTGACAAATTAGTCGGTATTCTCAACACAGCAATTATAGGACTTGAACAGCCGAACTTTGTAACTAAACAAGAAATTATGTCTGTTTAATAGAATTAAAGAGAAAGTATTATCACATGAAACGAAGCAACTTACATTGAAGGAAATGTTTAATAAAGTAAACAAATAAATATTAAGCTTTTTCTTTTTGTAAATTTTGATACCCTTTAGATCATAACTGTTCTTTATTTCATAAATTACGGTTTCATATTTTTAATTTTGTAATTTCTGCATGCCATCTTACCAGATTTAAACTGATGATCTATAATCCGGAAAAATCGATAATCCGGAATCGCCGAAGTCCCGAGGAGTCCGGATTAACGACTTTTGACTGTATTATTTCTAGACACATGAAAAGAGAGCTATGCATGTATCAAAAATATTGACAGAAGAAACTGTTTTCAGTAACAACTGATGGTGCTCCAGCTTTAGAGGAAAAACTGCAGGATTTGTGAAATTAATTAAAAACGAACTTGACTGATCGCTTTTATCATTTTATTGCATCACACATGAAGAAAATCTTTTTACAAAGGCATCTATGCAATGATTTATAAGAAATAACAGAAAAGGTTGTTAAGATCTTAAACATGATAGCAACACTATCAGCATTAGTACCCAAGTACTTCAAAGCTTTCTTGACAGAGACTGAATTGAAATATGGAGATTTGCTGTTATGTTCAGAAATATGATGGTTAAGTTGAGGCAGATTTCTTAATATATTTGTAGAATGTTTTGATGAGATACAAATAAGAAATTGGTATACATGATCTCGGACTCCATGATAAAAAAATGTGTTTTTCATTTTTGTTCTTAACAGACACAATGAATCATTATAATAATTTCAATCTATGACTCAAGTTAAAATGTATGAAGAATGGAAGAGTTTTTCTTAGAAATTATGGTTACTTTAAACAGACATAAAAAAGGAAGAATTTCATTTCTTTCCTTTTAAAAGGGCAGCTTAAAAAAGAAAATATCGATGAGGGCAATCTTGATATATTCAAAAGTTGGGGCAAAATGTTTACTTTTATAATAAAGCCCGATGAAATAGAAGAAAATGTTTTAGGTCTGCAATATTTTCAATACCTTAAAATTTGAAATTTTAGAAATGATTGACATCAAAAGCTCAGTATTTCAGAAGGATAAATTTAAGACTTCGTGGAAAGATTTGGAAAAATCAGATTACGATCTTTTCATAATTAGCAGCGTGTTGGGCATTACTTCCTATGAAGTTTCATTTCAGAAAAATTTGGCTTTGCCACTTTGTCTGCATTCAGATCCTATAAATGTGAGCAAATATTTTTATTGCTTGAAATTAAGTATGATTAGAAGCAGTTTAACTACCAAAAATCAGATACTAGTATTCATCTTAAGATGACTAAACTATAAGCCAGACCTGATTAAATTGGTATCACAAGCTCAGTGTCAAGGGAGCTACTAATATCGAAGACAAAACTAAAGTTCATTCAGTTATGTTTGTTTTTATAACAATTAGAATTATAATTTTAATTTTTATGTTTAAAAGAAATTGTAATTATTTTCTCAATAAAATTTATCATATTATTCATCAAAAAGACTTTTAAAATGTAAATACCAACATTTTAATACACATATTTTGATTTATTCTGACACTCAGCCAAAAAAGGTCGAAACTGCCTGCACTGGACAGTTGTCTGTAAGAAGAAACATTTCATTCTTCAATTCATTATCCCCTTTCAAAAGCCATTCATTAAAAATTCCTGACATAATTTATGCCTTGAATTAAATCTAGTTTACTGGTAAACTCATTACTCCTTTAAAGTATTGGTCGGCATTCCCCCCCCCAGATTACTAATGTTTTTTTTTTTTTGTTTTTGTTCTCCCCCATACTATTGACACAGCATAAAGCAGTCAGACAATCTTTCAATATTTTCTAATTTTGTTAGCTTTCAGTTTTAAATTTACATGTATTTGGAACAATGAATAATACCACAGATTTGTTTTGTCTGTATTATAAATGTTTTCAGACTTGTACACTATAGACAGTTTAAGTCATTCATCGGACAGCCATGTTCCTGCAGCAGGTAAATCGTAATCTTTTTTTTTTTTTTTTTTTTTTCTATTCATGCATTTATAAACAATGTTTTCTTCTTAGGGCTATACCAAACCAACTTTCCCTGTTTTGATAGATAATTCTTGAGCTTTCTTCCACAGCGATAGATTATTAATTATCACATCTTTCTAATGAACTTTTGTAAACCAAACCTTTGACGTTTTCCTAATGTTTCGACTTTTAGCAAGCAAACAGTATCTTCATGATTCTTTAAAATCTTGCATTAGAAGTGTTGAGAAACATTTAAATCTAGATCAACATTCCATTAACTGATTTTGGGAAAAGGTCAGAGTGGTCTAATAAATTGATTTTATCCCTTAGATCATTAAGCCATTTACTAACCACCATATATTAAAAGTATTAAAAGACTCTGAAAGTGCATAGAAATGATACAAACACCTAAAAATGACTCAACAGAATAAAAATAAGTGCTTCCTAAAATATAAGGCATAAAATACTGCAAGGGTTTTCGGCTAAAGTGCAGAATCGGTCACTTATTTGTTTGGCACTTTTTACAAGAGTAAGAAGAATTGGATTTTTGTCAATTTTCTTTGACTTTTAAAGTGAAAATAAGTCGACATGTACATGGATAAAGTCAAGAGAGTGCGCAATGCCATTTTTGTGCAATTCTGGGATGTTTTTTAATGTGAAAATAGGTTGACATGTACATGGATACCGAGTATGTGCAATTCTTAAAAGCAGGCCAAGCAGTGGGCGATTCTGCACTTTCCCGGGTTTTTTTCAAGCTTAAAAGAATTACCTAGTATTCCAACTTTGATAAACTGGCTAGTCCCAACAGATTTTCATAAAACTTGGAAAATATAATCTTTCGTATATAGCTGATTGGTTGATCTTTGGATTATTGTAACTTGGCGATTTTCGGCGAAAATTTGGCGACCAACTCTGCTGCAGCAACCCCCTATTTTTCTGGCTGATTTTTAGAATATGATAACTGGTAGTTTGGCGACATTTTGGAGGCGATAAAGGTTACTACCTGGGACTTTGGTAATAATGTGAGCAGTACTCAGTTCCGATTACGCATTATTTTGTGTGAGGGAAATGAGAGATCATGGGATATGTCATGTGATATTAATGGACGAATTACGGTTCTTTAATCGGAAAAGGGGGGAAAGGGGAAATCGGGAAAAAATCTGGAAATTTTGTATTTGGCTTTTATCTGTGTTGTGTGAAACAGTGTTCGTTCGTAATTTTTGGATCCAATGGCCCTAAGTAAAGTGAATTCAAAATGGGTATTTAGTGGGATTGAAAGGGGTTAATAATAATAAGTGTTTCTTTAAGGTTGTGCGAGATCGTAAAGATGTTTTATTAAGTTATTTATTTACCTGGTACCTTGCTGTGAACTATAAGTATGAATTTAAAGATCCTGAAACAGAAATAAGAAAAGTTTATCGGACCACATAATCAAGATTCTGAAGAAGATTAGGTAAGTTAGTATTTTTAATTATTTTTGAGGATATTATTTTATGCATTGTTCTAAATGTAAGGTGGAAGTAATAATTGATATTTGGGAAAATTGTTATTAGCAATGATTTAGTTTAAAGTAATTAGGATTGTAAGCTAATTTTTATTAATTTAATGTATGTGCTTATTTATATTTTAAGTAGTAATTTTAAATTTCATTATATTTTAATTAAATGATAGTTATTTTGTGAATTTTATGTTTGTAGGAATTTGTTATACGTTTTAGTTGAAGTAAACGTGCATGGAAATAATTTAACATATTTGACAGTAAGTTATTGTAAATGTTTGCGGTATGAATTCGTTGGTGAAATTTTATAATATATAGATAATTTAGAGGTAAAAGGTTTTGGATATTTTATTATTTTATACGTGGAAATGTTCATATTTGGAAAGGGTATATACTTTTTCATTATTAGGTAATTTCATATATGTTCTTTTTAACGGGTTTTCAGATTCAGAAAAATTGTCATGCATTTTCGTGAAATTTTTCTAATTTATGAGAAAAAAAGGAGTGTACATGGATATGTGGAAGAGTGTGCGCAATGCCATTTTTGTGCAATTCTGGGATTTTTTTTTAAGTAAAAATAAGTCGACGTGTACATGGTTTAGTGATATTTTAATTAAATGATAGTTATTTTGTGAATTTTATGTTTGTAGGAATTTGGTATACGTTTTAGTTGAAGTAAACGTGCATGGAAATAATTTAAATATTTGACACTAAGTATTTGTAATGCTTGCGGTATGAATTCGTTGGTGACGTTTATAATATAATAGATGATTTAGAGGTAAAAGTTTTTGGATATTTTATTTATTTTATATGTGGAAATGTTCATATTTGGAAAGGGTATACACTTTTTCGCAGTCAGGTAATTTCATATATGTTCTTTTTACCAGGTTTAAAGATTCAGAAAATTGTTATGTATTTTTGTGAAATTTTTCTAATTTATGAGAAGAAAGCAGTGTACATGGATATAGTGAAGAGTGTATGCAATGCCATTTTTGTGTAATTCTGGGATGTTTTTTTAAGTAAAAATAACTCGACGTGTACATGGTTTATGTGTATGTGTTATTTTGAAAAACGCGTAAGGAGTATGGTATTGTGCACTTTTTCCCAATTTTGCAGTGAATATTTGTCATGATTAAGCAGTTTTGTTAGATAAAATTTCTAGCATAAGTGTAATTCGGCTAGTAGATTGTTGGAAGAAAATGCTCAGTTAGATAAAAAAGAAAAGAAAATACATGATCTTTACTTTGTGAAGAACAAAATGGCGGCAGGAAAAAAAAACTAGCAGGGTTGCTTGTAGGACGAGTTGGTCGCCAAAGTTTTCGCCAAAAAATCGCCAAGTTACCATAATGTAAAGATCAACCATTTTTCTTTTTTCGCCGCCATTTTGTCTTCATGAAGTAAAGACATGTTTCTTTTCTTTTTATTTACTCAACACTTTTTCCAACAATCTGCTACCCGAATTACACTTATGCTAGAAATTTTATGGAACAAAACTGCTTAATCATGACAAATATTAACTGCAAAATTGGAAAAAAGTGCAGAATCGCAAACTCCTTGCCGCGTTTTTCAAAATCGCACATACACAGTAACCATGTACATGTCGACTTATTTTTACTTAAAAAAAAAAACATCCCAGAATTGCACAAAAAATGGCACTGCGCACACTCTTCACTATATCCATGTACCTGCTTTTTCTCATAAATTCGAAAAAATTTCACGAAAATGCATGAAAATTTTGTGAATCTTTAAAACTTGGTAAAAAGAACATATATGAAATTACCTCATCGCGAAAAAGTATATACCCTTTCCAAAGATGAACATTTCCACGTATAAAATAAATAAAATATCCAAAAACTTTTACCTCTAAATTATCTATTATATTATAAACGTCACCAAGGAATTCATACCGCAAGCATTACAAATGGTTACAAATACTTAGTGTCAAATATTTAAATTATTTCCATGCACGTTTACTTCCACTCAAACGTATACCAAATTGCTACAAACATAAAATTCACAAAATAACTATCATTTAATTAAAAATATAATTAAACCATGTACACGTCAACTTATTTTTACTTAAAAAAACATCCCAGAATTGCACAAAAAATGGCATGCGCAACACTCTTCACTATATCCATGTACACTGCTTTTTGCTCATAAATTAGAAAAAATTTCACCGAAAATGCATGAAAATTTTGTGAATCTTTAAATTCGGTAAAAAAAAGGACATATATGAAATATTACCTGACTGCGAAAAAAGTATATACCCTTTCCAAGGATGGATATTTGCACATATAAAATAAATAAAATATCCAAAACTTTTACCTCTAAATTATCTATTATAAACATCACCAATGAATTTATAACAAAACATTAAAAATGATTACAAATACTTAGGTGTCAAATACTTAAATTCTTTCCATGCACATTTACTTCTACTCAAACGTATCCAAAATACTACAAAACATATAACTCTCAAAATCACGATCATTAAATTAAAATATAATTAAATTAAAAAAACACTACTTAAATATAAATAAGCACATTAATTAAATTAATAAAAAATTAGCTTAATAAAATTAGCTAATAAAAATATTTAGCTCCTAATTACTTAAACTAAATCATTGCTTTGCTAATAACAATTTTCCAATAATACCATATTAATTTATTTACTCCTTATATTTAGAACAATGCATAAAAATAATATCCTCAAATAATTAAAAATACTAACTTACCTAATCTTCTACAGAATCTTGAGTGCATGGCGGATCACAAAATGTCCATTTTCACCAGGTTTCTTGCACCGCCATTCAAACTATCTGTAATATCTTTCCTTTTACACAATCTCATTTCATTCCCACATACTGGACATTCATACTTATCTGCAATTAAGCAATTCTTTTCAATTACACATAAACGTAATAAAAATTTCGGATTTACTTTATATACGGCTATGGGATCCAAATATTAAACAACACCGTTTCACAGAACATAGAATGAAACTACTGCTATAAAGTACAGCAGATATTTTTACAAATATACCCCCTTTTCCGATTAAAGGTTACTACCTAGTGATTCGTCCATTAATGTCACATGACATATCTCATGATCTCTCATTTCCCTCACACAAAATAATGCGTAATCGGAACTAAGTACTTCTCACATTATTCCCAAAGTCCTAGGTAGTAACCTTTATCGCCTCCAAAATGTCGCCAAACTACCTGTTACCATATTCCAAAGATCAGCCAGCTGATTTAATAAAATTAGAAGAAAACATGCCAACTTAAACTTTTAGATTAGGCAAAAAAGCAAGTACAATTTTTCATAGAATTCTTTTTTCAGACAGAAAAAAAAAAAAAAAAAAAAAAAAAAAAAAAAAAAAAAAAAAAAAAATTGCAGTTTTTTTTTTTTTTTTTTTTTTTTTAAACTCCTAAGAAGAAAGAATTGTGTCTGATAGCCTTCAAACTCAAATAGTGTGCCAGTTGTTTAAAATCTAAATGAAATGAAGATTGCTTTTTTTGCCTAGCAAACCTGAGCTATTTAGTGACTTAATTCTTTACTTGGTGATGCGTCCAGTCATTAGGCTATTTCCATAATTTAATATTTATTTTTATAATTTATTTATAACTTATAATAGTGATAACCAGACAAATAAATATTCTGTTTTGTTGCCACTTTTAAACATATAAAAATCATCAGACTAATATCTGATAACTTTTCCTTAGGCTGACAGTAATATTTAGTGATGTTCTGCAGTTTGATATTCATGAGATGTTGCTGCTAATTAGAAAAAAACTATAATTTTAAACATAAAACTTATTACTACATAAGACTATTAAACAAGCATAACTGACTAAATCAAACAAAATCTTCCTGTTATTTCCTACTTACCTATTTGATGGCTAGGAAGCTGAGATATTAAAGCTTGAGATATTCTTTTAGTTTTTGGATCTACGTAGCCATATTCATCTTCCTCATAAGTATACCCCACTAAATAAAAATTAAAATAACAGATCAGTTGGAATAATTTCTGATAACTAATTTCTAAGATAATATTTATTTTTATATAAAAAATGCATCTTAAGAACTTTTCAATTATGATACATTTTTAATATAAAAAAATGCACAAGCTGTATAACATCATAAAGATATTTATTAACTTAGAATTCATTACAGCACAAAAACATTTTTTAAACTGATTAAACTTTTTCAAAACAAGGATGATAGTAATAAGGATGATAACAAGAATGTCAGTGCCTTTGCAAAAAAAGGTAAACATACAACTTTATAAATGTATCTAGCAATGTCACCTACTGATTCAACAACCTATCAGAACATCCCAAGAGGTAAGGCAAATGCTTCCTTTCATATGCTTACAAAATGACTGCCTTTTGACCTATCTCTTTCAATTTCGAATCACTTCTAGTCTCTCTACAGCAGTGGTTCTCGACCTTTCTTGCTCATGCATATCTTTTATCATTGTTAGAAGATCATTCACCCTCTCCTTTCCAAAACATCAAAAATATGTATATACATTTATTTAGATTTAGATTATTTTTGAATGTGTTTTATAAACTAAGCAATAAAAATTAAAGAAAATGTTGGTAAATACTAAAATTTGAATAAAAGTAAATTTTTATGTTTGCAAACTAAAACTAAATACTTAACAGCTAAATAAAAGGTTCAGCACTTTAAAGGCCCTTGAAACTATGAAATCCCCCCCAGCTGAGAATCCTGCTCCATAGGGATAAACGTATGAACATCCTTCACACTGCATTACTATATACTCTCAGTCTAGCATTACTATATACTCTCAGTAGTATCAGGTGAAAATTCTTTTCAGAGAACTTCTGAATTTGTTGGTGGTTTCCATGGTAAAATGGCTGAATGTTGTAAGATTAATTAGAAATTTCTGTACAATTTGCAATGAAAGAGAAAAAAGCATTAATTGGTGTATAAATGAAGGTTTATTTAGTTGCCATTATAAGTGTCCTGTTTGTAGGAAGGAAATGCTTATGGACGAACGCTTACGGTTATTTTAGGCTAAAATTATTTCACTTTACGTGGGTTCTGATAAATATTCATCTGAAAGAAAAATTCTTTATTCCCCAGGAGGAAGGACATAAGAAAAATCATTTTCCCTCTCCTCTGTAGGATATCTTCAGCATAAAACATTAATGATGGAAGCACATTTTACATTATTATTAATAATGTCAAAATAAATTAGTTTTTTTTAACATAAATGAGATTTTTTTTAACAGCACCTTGGTAAGCTTGTTTTTCTAGTTGTTCTAAATGTATAATAATATGAACAAAGAACAATAGCAATAAATCTTCAAACACTGGAAATATCAAAGGTCATAGTTTAGTTGTAATTTTGTTGGATTAAAATAATAAAATTGTATGTTTTCCTATTTAATATAATTTACTCTATTGTGCAAACTGCATACAACTATCAACCTATCAATATATGCTAAAAGGTTTATACTATATTGAACTTTTATGTTTCTATAGTAACAATACAAAATATTTTCCCAAAATAAAACGATCTGCTTGTTTATAATATGGGTAACAATAATCACTACTTACAATTCTGCATAGGCAATTCGTCATAGCTTTTTGATCGTCCTGCACTGGATCGACCACTGGAAGACGCCATGTGAAATTGTTGCTAGATTCTACTTGAGAACTGGAAGAGAAAAACGGGATAAAATAATGCATAAAAGCGCCAATGAACTATTTTTTATAAACTGAAAATCAGTTCAAATTCTCCACTCTAACTGAACCAATGAGAGTTGAGACTAAGATAATATTAAATGAAAAATTTCAAAACGCCTACATGACATTTCTCATTTAAGTACCTTTTAAGTACTTAAAAAAATAAGAACACGGCATGCCACAAAATTCATTCAAATGTTTATTTCAAACCCATGTAATGATGACTTACTACCATTATTTCAAATTGTTAAGTGTTCGAAAGAAATCTTAAAAGGTGTAAAAATTACAAACACTTTTTAGCATGGAAAAATACTCCAAATTCCATAAAGTTATTCACCCAAAACTTTTACCTTTAATATTGTGTTTCAAAGGAAATATCCCATTAGTTTAAATTTATTGCAGCTGGCAAATAAATCTATAAACTTTAAGCTTACATTTATCTTTCAACATCAGTAAACTTCAGCAACTAAACAAGATTAAATGCCGAAATTCGGCTAACATAAACAATGTTTACCGCAAAGTTTTCCATACAAATCAACCGGAAGCACGTGATTATGACCGTACTAAGACAAATTGGAAAAAATCAAGGAGGGAAAAAATACATTTCTTATCCCATAAAGATAAAATTACTATAAAAAAGAAGTGCAGTTTTTTAAATAGAAAAAAGAAGATTGAGAAGAAATATTGATATTCACTGTAAATGCAAATGTTAAAAAGTAGTTGTTTCGAATGAAATCATTGAAGAAATTAGAGGAAATGAAAAAGATGATTTTAAAAATAGCTTGGGTTTAACTAGAGCTACTAGAGATTATAACCTTTTTTAGTTAGCCTTAGGTTTAACTTATCTCCTTGAGTCAAAACCGAGAAATTGGGATCTTAGCTGGTCTCACTTCGAAACGAGTGTTACAATGGCATGGAAATGTGATAGAAAAATGGTTTGTGTTATTTGAATATGTGAAAGCAGGCAAGGACTATGAGACTAAGGGAAGGCTACCCTAACGGAAATTCAACTGCATTCGCTAGAGTAGCCTAATACATAGTACTCTAATACTCTAATACATAGGACAGACTACAGAAGTTCCCATGCAGCTAATTCCTATCCTGATTCAAATCTGTATCAAAGTGAACAGCTTTCTAGGGAAAATGGCTCGTATCGCGTTACACTAGAGAAAACCCTCAATCAAAACCAATCATGCATCCAGCCCGTTCACCTGATTTCAAATTCGGGCGGAATAATCAGTACTGAGTAACCACTCTACCGTTGATTCCACTTCAAAATCCGTGGCGTGGCTAGGGTGGGACAAAGAGGGACGTCTGTCTCCCGACGCACCATCCAAGGGGCGTCAAATTAATGCTACGAAATTTTTTAATGTAATATTTTCCACTTGTGGCACACAGAAAGGGACGCAAATTCTTCAGTTGTCCCCGGACGCTGGAAACTTTAGCTACGCCCCTATCTAAAATGGATACAAAATTGCTAGAGATGAACCTATTTCGCCATGACTGTGCTGTGAATATTTCTCTGATTAAGTCATCTTAGGCAGCATTTGATCTTTCTACACATTTCCACAAAATCTCTTGAATTCCATGCTATACTTTTGTATCACAATTTAACATGACTTTTAGCATTATTAACATGACTGGCTCCAAGATTCTGGTTTCGCCATCTACTTTGATAACAGAAAATAGTTTTTCCACATTGAGAAGATTTTCAGCATTAATACTTACATCTCAGCAAAATTTTGTGCCTATCAATCCATATATGAATACAATGTGAGTACGTGGAGAAAGGGGCGATAAGGAACACAACCTATCCGATTGCCCCATAACAGAAACTCTACACTTAGGAAGACTCGACTAAAATTACATAGTTTGTTACGTTATGTAATGAAAAATGGACGCCTTAAAGGAAGATACAACTAATGATAGGAAATTTAGCGACAAAATATTGTAAGTAACTGTAACCCTTCCGTGGGCTTTTCCTCGACGTGGTGGTGTGGTGGAAATGCATGAGGACTACCCTGCTTACGCGACTAATCGGGCCCGACACCCCCGAGGTGGTAACTCGCAATGTCTATATGTTGGAAGCGGAAAACACGAAGGAGATTAGCTGCCATCACAGGACGAGAAACCCGTTCCTACGGTAGTCCGTGAGGCTCAACAGGGACTGTAAAAATACTGTCAAATCTGTCTGGGGCTGTGTGATTGCTAAAGAATGTTAAGGTTGTCATTGGGGGATTCAGCCTCCCGGGATCGCGTCCTGACAAAGTGACCAGTATAACCGTACACAAGCTACTTGATTCTGGGTAACTCTCGCTGTGGTGTTCTGTATATAACTGTATATAATTTATATGACAATGAAATTTCAGCTCAGAAGTATTGTGAAGAACTACGTAGTGAATACCAAAATTATAATTATTGAAACCACAATTAAATGCAATGTAACCATATATGACAAATATAAACAATTGTATATAAGCCAAAGTACTAATGCATTCACGTAAATTTTATGTTCCAATAAAGCAACCCAGATAAACGGCAATGAGTCAGATGCCGTTGGCGGTGGCAAGGCCTGCGGTGCGAGATGAGCTGAATGTCTCTGTAGGGTATAGCCAATTATGGGAACCTTCGGAGCTCAGTAAGGCTTTGTTGTATATAAATAATTATTAGACCTGAATCACTTATTGACAAATATCTAGTATCCCCCTGATTATACCTGCACCTATTAATTATAAAAGTTATCTTTATTCCATGTATTCGGCTACTTCACAATTTGTATAATTCTTAGATTTTAGAAGACATTTAGACTTAGTTTATTTAGATTTTAGATCTTAGAAGTTGTGAACAAAAATTAATAACAGCATTTTTATAACTTAAATTAAAATGGTATGTAGTGGTCATTTTGACAAACGATGAAATGGCGGGGAAGTATCAAGAAAATTATACTACACCATACAAAATATGTTGTTGTTGCTTATGCTCATTTGTCTAATATAGTCGGCCAAGCCCACGAAATACCTCGTGGCAAGGAGCGCTAGAATATGCCTGCCGTTGGCAACAGCCTTGAGCACCATTCAGGTGACAGGAGATTTTGCTCAGTTCCGCACTCCAATTTTGATGGAGAGTACCTCGGGGACCAATTTTGATGGAGAGTACCTCGGGGACCTCCCACCCCTCTCCCCATCCACCACCACACGAGAGGACTTTCGGCTTGCCGCATATTTAGAGTGTCGACATGCCGCACAATTCATTTACAAACATCTATGCCTTCTCCGGGATTCGAACGCGGGCCCTTCGGCACAGCAATCAGCAACGCTAACCACTATACCGGTCGGCGACATACAAAACATACTCATGACAACATATTTAAAGATTAATATATATATACAAATATTACGTGTCAGTGAGACACATGCTAACATTAAAAAAAAGCCAAATCTCAAAACAAAAAAAGAAAGAAAGAAAAGAAACAAAGAAAACTGACATTAGTTTGGCGTTGATTTTAAAAAGAAGAGATTTAATATTTCTAGGAAGAACTAGAAAACCATCCATCTCTAACCGTGACAAATTCTCTGTCAAAATAGGAACATAGTTTGAAGCAGGTGGGTGAAGATTGGTTTTAATTAAAATGAAGCTTTGTCGTCGTTGTGCCATCTGCTGAGACTATCTTTTGAACATTCGAATCCATTAACTGATAAGCCTAGAAAAATTGCTTGCTAATTCAATCCTTGAGTGCTCAAACCAAAAACATAGTTACGTTTCTAGACAAATCGTAAAATTGTTTGAGTTTGTTTGGCGTTCGAATTTATGATAAAAATGTGTTTGCATTTATTTCGACAGAGACACTCAATAGACTTCATCTGTTGAACATCTGTTGAAGATCGTTTTTTTACTAAAGATATTGAGAAACTTAGCTCAAGCCTGTATATTCTTACTTCCTTGTACCAAATAGAGTAAGCATTATAATAGTGAACAATTTTAGATATCATATTTCAACAGAAATATCCACACTGACCGGTTTGGAATCCATTTTAACTTTTTGTTTTGTTTTTTGCTTGGCGTTTGTACAAACGGACAAAACATAGGACTCTTTTCTACAAAACGGACTGTAAAATGGATTTAAAATGCATTAAAAATTGATTTTTTTCCTGACGTCTGTATATATGTACTTACATACGTATCTCGCCTAACACAAAAACAATTAGAATAGAACGTTGAAATTTTGTATATTAGACTGCTGCAACATCTAGTTGTGCACTCCTTTTTTTTTATTACAAATAGCAGTACCAAATGTATCTATCTATATCTATTTTTACTTTAAATCAATCTTTGAGATATGTATATGTATATTTATACTCACTTCCTTACTCAACTTAAAAGCCCTTATCCGACATTTATTTTCGCAATCATTGGTCGTAGTCATATATTTCCAGTAACAGAAGTGTTTGAAAGACGAAAAATTTATGTTTTGGCATGGCCAAATCGCAAAAAAATATTTATTTTGAACAAATAACTAAATCTAACCTGGTTCCTATATTTATATTTGGAAAAGTTTTACACTCGTTAGGAAATATAAAAATACAATAATTTCGACTCTCATGTGACAAAAATTAACCAGGATATTAATTTCAAAGTTTGCAATTTTTGAGCTTATTTTCAATTGGCTTTGCGAAATCGTTAATTAAGTTAGAATAATTCTAGGAAATAAGTTTAAATGAAGTGCAGCAAAACAAAACGTATGTATTTTAATAGGCCGAACGAAGAAGTAATGCGCTGTCCACATCAGACTTTTATAAAATGAATACACTGAAATATCATTAAACAAAAGATTGAATAAAGCTTGATCAAACCCATCTGCCCACAGTGTAAATATGAAATTTTATTGTCATTGCTTGAAAGAGGATAAAGTACCTTTTATTATATGTCAAATAAACTGGCATTATTAAACTAAGTTTTGGAAATTAAGTACCCTTCTTACATGGGATATATGGATTGTGGATCTTGGTTATTAATTAAAAATCTTCATGCTCATCGCATTATGTAACCACAGCTGTGTTTCTCAGGACCATATATCACTTCTGCACCAAAGACATTTCTAATTGGTCACGGATTGGGCTGCCAGAAATTTTTTAACTGGTGTATTGAATCAGGAGCAGTAAGTGACATTTCCGCATATTTTGTCAGAAACTAGCAGTCAGCATATGGTCATTCCCAAGATTTGATTTTTACAGTGGCAAGATTTGATTTTTACAGTTAATGATAAAAGAGACCATTTTAAGACCACAAGCATTTTCGATATAGGTAGCTTTGTGTTAATGTAAATCCTAAAATCTCTGTTTGGAAATACGCTTCTAAAACCTAAGCACGTGACATTAAAATCAAGAAAAATGGAATCGTAAAGCTTTGATTAGCTCTAGATTGCATCTGATCGTGATAAATGTATTTATGCATGAAAGAAAAAAGCATTATATATAAAGTTGAAAACAATATTT